TCCATTCCCTACGAGAATTTCATAAAGATCAGCCCCTGTGCTATGATATACATACTGTGTATTTTGATCGAATGAACCTTAAATGCAGCCATCAAGGCCGGCGATATCATTTATCGATATCGCGGTTCCCTCATTGGGTCAAGCGATCGAGGCGAGATAGGAGAGTGAGACGCCACGTTGCCTACTATCGGTGAATCTCCTACGGGTGTGCCACGAACACAACTACCACAGCCAGGCGTTTTTTTTTACTAAGAAGTGCACAGCCGCAATCGACACGGCGTGTAATCCTCACCTATTTTAAAACATACGCTAATATTTATTCCATTGGGCCGTATTGAATAGCACGGTCTATTAAGATCTTTATTATCCTTAACTAATAAGCGAGAGGGCCCCTACTGTTTTTCCTTCAAGAAGACGACCCGCACATTGTCGAAACGCTCAATCGGCTCAATTTCATCGGCATCCTCGTCGACTCGCTACGGACCATTTTGCATGACTGGACCGAGGTCGTTCACACAGGCAACACGGCGCAGGAGACGTACGTGGCAGCCAAGTTGGCACTGCTTGTTTGCTGCGAGCAGGGCCACGATAACAGCAATGCGAACCAACTTCTAGACCTTTCTGACCACATTTGGCGCGTCTGCAAAGAAGCGTTCCATGGCTCGACATTATATGAAGTCAAAGGACTCATTCCAGGTCCAGCTCTTCTCCAAGTCGTCCACTTCGGGGGTATAGTTTGGAGGGGCGGCCCTATTCGGTTCGTCAACATCTTACTTGATGACAGTGACGAACTTGTGGATAAATAACTCTCAACATTCTGGTTGAATAAGACTCAGAGCAATACCATTAAACTGATAGCGTCGGATGATGTACGTTGTTGCGCGCATCGCATTGAAGAGCCGAACCCGGGCTGACGGAAACTCGTCTGTTATTAATCATTTGGTCAGAAGAGTTCTAAACTTGGTTGGCATGAATATACGCACCAAAATCGATTGCCCAAACGCCAGTTCCAGTACCCATATCAAGAACCTGCTTGGCTGTCTTGTGTCCTGTAGAAATTGCCAGTCCATCGGCGAGACAGATCATCCACACACGACGCTGCAAATCTTTGATGGCATTATGATACTCTCCAAGAATCATACATGGCAAGGAAGTCATGTAGGCGGTCGCTCTCTCGTTGTCGCCAAAAGCCAAATCAGCGGATGACTTTACAAGACATAGACAACGCTATCGAGTTATCCGTGTTCATACCTCGTCATTAAGATAACTGTATTCTGCCATCAGGCCAGCGATAACACACGTGCAGCCATCAGGTGTTGGTATGCACTTCTGGCGCCCATGGAGTAGTAGGTCCGGCATAATCTCGCAGCAGCAGACCACAATAACTTGGTTTGCACATGGATCAATCACCAGAAGGCCACCATGCATTACGAGAACCACCCAAGTATTATGGCATGGCCCCAGACGCCGACCTCGTGTGCTTGATTACTAGTTAAACATGGGTTCTATGTGCCCTGTAGCAAAGTGTGGTATCATAAGCTGGTGACCTGAGCAAAATAAACCCCCGAGCTTTTCCGACTGAAAACCCCAAACGACTCTTGAAATAACACGTGTGATAACATTATACCTCGCCATTTTTTTATGAGGCATGCTGCTCAAAATGCTATGACCTTCTTCATTGACATCGGAAAAAACAACCATCATTGTTCACCATTGGTGTTCAAAGCTCATCCTCCTCTAGTTCGAGGAGATCAAGAAGACTAGGATGAGGCTCGCCGCAGCAGGGGCAGACACCAAGCTCATCATCCTCACCCATCAAATCTTCAATTTCTTCCATGGCGTAGCCACTGGTACGACAGAATTCGGTCCACTGACGTACCTCGTCATCGCGAGATCTGGGGACTCTTTTCCAAATGGTGAGGTCCTTGCGGTTGGGTGAAGATTCGGGATGACCCGTCTCCTGAGGCGCAGGCGGCATGATGGGTTCGCGGGGGTGGTGATGACCTATATCAGAGTCCGAGTCCGAATCAATGTCGTCATCAGAAGAACCGTCATTGCCTTTCTTCGACTTCATCGTCTTCCATGCCCGAACAACACGAGCACAGCTAGAGATACCCGAAAGGGGCTTCAAGGAGTTCTTCCATTGCACAAACGAAGGAAGACCGGCAAGAAAAAGACCTTCGTCGCGTAAGAGGCCGGTGAGCTCGGCGGTCGCCTTGCTACCTGCGTCGTCAATGGGCAAGCCAGTTACCTGCAGCTCGTTGAGCGTGCAACCCAGTTCGTGAGAAGCCATGTCGTGGAGATCGCTGCCAGGCATGGGCAAGAAATCGTCCAAGAAGTTCACAAGATCAATTCTGAGAGACTCTAGTCCGGGGAAGAGTCTCGGGCGGGCGAGTCTCTTGTCGTGCTTGGGATCGAAGGGGGGGCGGAGAGCGCGCAAGAAATCAGTCACCTGGCCCCAGGAATAGCATCGGAAGCCACCGCGGGCGTAGGTATGTTCGTTGATGCGAGGAATTGTCCGCAGCGTGATATCGTTCTTGAGATGGGGATGGTAAGACCGCTCGAGCTTGTGCTTGCGCTTCTTGTCGTCGAAGAACTGGGCAATGATGCGGAAGTTGACATGCTGGATGTTTTTGCGGTACGCGAAGTCCAGATCGGCAAAGTTGCGGACGGATTCGGGAGTCGTGAAGACAAAGGAGTTCTGGCCCCACAGGATGCGACTGCCCTCATCGTTCATGGCCTTGCATGTTGCCAAAAAGTGTATGGCGATTTGGTTGCTGCGGTTCCTCTCGTGATGGGTCAGGTTCTCGGGCTTGAGTTTCGACAGAGGGTCGATGATGGGGTCTTTGCATGTTAGAGAGTACTTGAGGATGCGCAGCAAGACTTCGGTTGGCAGATACGGAAACTGGTGAGTCTCGGAGCTGATGGATGAACGTGTGCGCCGGCCACCAGAGCTCTGGTTCTGGTACGCCGCAGAGATGGGTGACCAGGAGATACCATTGTCGCGGAGAAGCTTCTTCAGTTTTGCGTTCTCATCGGCAAGCGCCTTGTTCTTGGATCGAAGCGGGTGATTGTAATATGCTTCAGCCTGGTCCTCTACGTCGCGACACTCCCACGGCATGATTTCCTGGACGTCGGTCAGCTCGCACACCACAGATGGCAACTGCTGGAGGCCAACGCACCACATCTCGATGCGCCATGATGGCGAAATTGAGGTGTTGCCGCCTGGAGATTTTAAGTAGTTTACAAGAAAGTTAGTTGTTGGGACGACTGCGAGGAGAGGTGCGTCCGATTAAAGTATTGGCGTGGCGTGACTCTTGAAGCTTACAGCGAGACAAGAGTATGCCGCCGATCGATTATCCGTTGGTGTTGCGGGCAAATGAGTTCGCCTGACGTTTGAGGAAAAAGAGGAAGCCGGGGAATCTCCAGAATCGGAACAGCGCTAGGCAAGGCAGGGTGTGCCGGTGACAGGTGACCGAGTTGGAGTGAGCTTGCAATGATGTGACCTACGATTGGAGTGAAAGGGTGAAACGAATGTTTTAAGAAGAATGTGGTTCGGGCGTTCGTTCTGACGTTGTGGACGGGTTGGATCGAAATGCGAGTTGTAGGTGAAAAGAGTCAGTCAGCCAAGCCCAGCTCATACCAAACTCAAGTAGGTGAGTGAGTGGGTTGGCGATTGATTGAGAGATGGATGCGATGAGTATTTGCTGAACCGTGAACGAAGAAAGTCGGCAGCTGCTGATAGCAGTGCCGAGTAGACCGATTAACCCCAGGATGTGAGTAATCAGGTCACAAAATCGTAGAAGCGGTCGAGTAGCGCCGGAAGATGATGGCAAGATTGCTCCTGAGTCGGCGTCGAGCCGATCGATAAATCCCGAATCCGCCTTCCCCGGACGTGGCTCAAGTCGCCTGGTCGTGACGGGAAGTAAGACACCTCTGGGAGGGCAAAGACGGATGTGGTTGCAATCAGCCGTATCGTCCTTCGTCCGAGAACTCGGGTTGCCGAGACAGATGACAGAGAGGGGTGAAGAAGACGATTGATGTAGAAGAGACAATCACAGGGGGAGAAGAGAGGGTCAAAGAGGGCGAAAGGGAAAGAAAGGTACGGATAAGCAATACCGTGGCGGCAGGCAGATCTGTGCAGGAGCGGACGCAGACAGGGTAAACAGCAAGCACGGGAGGCGGCGGTGCTGGTGGTGGCTACCTTACCGACCTACCTCAGCGACGGTGAGCGATGGCCCAGGCTTCAACAGCGTGGAAGCAACAGACAACAGCACCCGGGGATTTTACTTCAGCAGTAACAGCAGCAGCCGTAATGCATCCCCGTCTCAGCTTTGACGATTATCGATATCCGCCGAAACCCCAGTCAATGGCTTTTTTTAGGCAAGCGTGAGCTCTTTTCTTATTCCTATGTTTCCAGGTTGGAAGACACGGCCTCTATGAATACGACGTTTCATCAAAGGGAACGACAAACTGCATGCATCAGGATGAAGAGATGGGGTGATGGGAGGGTAGGTACATCACGAAGGGGCAGGTGCAGCCGGTGCAGTGTACCATTATACAACCAACCTAATCTCAGATCACCCGCAATATTTCAATTATGGCAGGCATCCACAGCCATGACAAGACGGGAAGGAAAGGGACTTGATTGAAGACTTCCACATCCGCAGGCAGACATAGGTAGGGTGTGTCATGACAGTTAATGAAGATGCATTAAGAGAAAAAAAAAAGCCTGGGAAACTGACGGCTCCGGACCTTTGCCGGCTTCACATGGAACGGAAAGAACTCGGGAAAGGGGGGGATGGATGGATACTAGAAGGAAACAAGGGCCACACGGGGGTAGGTGCGCATTTGCTTTTCATGTCTTGCTCCTGCATATGCTCGAAGCTTTGCGAGGAGCAGCAGACACTCACTCTCTCCACTTTCCGAAACTGTGCTTCATCAGGCCATGCCTGCGACGAAGTCCCATGGGCTCTACTTTACATCAGGGACTTTCTTATCATTACGAAGGCACGGATCCGAACAAACACGGCACCTGGTAGGCACATGAAAGAAGTAAACGGATGCGAAATACCTACAGTGTACATGACGGTACTGTACGGTGCGGAACACCCAAAGCAGCTTCCCGAGCTTCCTAGCGATCGATGTCTGGAGGCAGGATCGGATCGCGTCACCAGATAGGTTTCGTAATGCGAGGTGGGCAAAACAATCAGGTATTGTTTACCGGAACCGCGCTGCAAAGGGTGGCATTAGGAAGAAACGGGGCTCAGAAGAACAAAGGAGCCTCCTCTCAGATGCTAGACTTTATTGAATCGATGCTGTCATGGGCTGGGCTCGCGCTGGCCGACGCATGGCATGGGAAAACCACACAGATCACGCCCCGCGATGGCGACAGGAGCTCCAACCTGTCATATCACAAAACCACCATGATATGATATTGCTGCCCCTCATAAGGAGTAGAGTACTTGCATTTCTCTCGCACGAGAGCACCTTAATGGGAGAAGGCCCAAGCTCTCCCATCTGTTTCCTCATCGCATCTTCTCCACTCACTGTTCTAGACGCCCCCGCCGTCCCCGTACTCAATGCAGACTACATACGATGGCAGTCATCTTTTAGACATTGGTGGCTTTGGGCAACCTCAAGCAAGGCAAACCAGACGATCGATGATGAATTATCCCCATAAAACACGTCCGTTAGGGCCTCCATTAGCCACAGTTCCCACGAGTGTCGCCCCTTCCACAGCGATTGCTGGGCGCCACTGTAAACCGCAAGTGCTCATCCTCCGCTTTTGACGTCATCATGTCTTGCCAATTACATGCTGCAGGTGGCTCAAGCTCTTCACCTCTGCACGTAAGGTAACGTGCTTTTTTCGATGATGAAATGGTCGTGCCTGCTGCAGGTAGCTATGGCAATGAGGTCAGCTCGCCTAATGGGTTCAAATAGTCCTGCGACCAAGAATCCTCGTCTAGAAGATCCTCTTTCTTCTCGTGTTCCTCACGATCGCTTCCATCGACTGACAGGAAAACCATATTACATTTCTACGAATCTGCTCAATCTACCTCAACGTCCCAAATACAATCACCATGTCTTTCTCCAACGCAGATACTGGCAACAAGCCCGCCGACCCTTACAAGGCCGCCAATCTCGATAATGACGTCTCCGTAAAGGAAAAGGTTGAGGCCTTCGTCAAGTTCGCCGAAAAGTCCAAGTTCGGCATGATGACCACCAGAGACGCCAAATCCGGTGCTTTGGTTTCTAGAGCAATGGCTCTTGCCGCCACTGTTCGTTCATAACCGATCCGTCCTCCGCGAACCATATACTAACCCCTTATTTCCCAGGAAAATGGTGGCGTCGACCTCCTCTTCCACACCAACACTGAGTCACACAAGACGGATGAGATTGACAGCGACCCTCACATCAACATAGCCTTTATCAACAGCTCCGGCGACTGGGCCTCTGTCTCGGGCATTTCTAGCGTTATCACTGACCGTTCACTGGTCAAGAAGCACTACAGCCCCACCCTTAAGGCGTGGCTGGGTGATCTTGGTGATGGTACTCACGACGGATCTGAAAACGATCCTCGCATCGGCGTCATCCGCGTCAAGACCACCAGCATCACGTACGCCATCAGCAACGCGACTTTTGTCGGCAAGGTGGCTCAGTTGGCCGAGGGTGTTGTGACGGGTAATGCGGCGCAGGTCAACAAGTTGAGGGAGGTCCCGTCTCAAGAGGTCGAACAGTACCGCTCTGCTGCTTCTTCCTCTTAAGCAGCAGCGCCCATAATAGAAATGTACGAATAGCAGAGTAGATGCTGTTGCGGCGGGCAACACCAACCCGAATTACGGGACACGAATGATGACTATTGCTTCCCATACTCTGCGTTCCAGCTCTTGTCGAATGTTTCCTTATTCACCGCAAACTCACGGATGTAATCGCGTTCGAGTTCATGCGCCCTTCTTCCGAGCAAAACCATGCTGTGCAGGGGGCCTCCCAGGATCTCGTCTGTATCGCACAGCTCTTGCAACGTACCAGCGACGAACTTCTCAGTTTTGCCACCCACACGAGCTGCTCCAATGGCCAAGCTATCAGCGGTATAAGCACGCTCCTTCTTATCTTCTTCGATCTCGAGCATCTGTGCGGCGCACTGTCCGACGGTCATGTACCGCGGGGGCTGATACACCCTTCTCCCCCGAGCCATGTCCTCCAGACTTTGCTCCTTGACCTTGATGTCAAGCAGCACCAGCGTGTGCAGGCCGATATCGCGGTTCTCCTTGATGCGGTCGTAGAAGGACGCTGGTTTCCATGTATCGGTGAAGAAGACCATTGACACAGTCTGGCCAAAGTTGTACAGCTGCAGGCCCGTGGCGCCGATGCCGGACATGATGGAGGCATTGGGGACGGTACGGATCGGAATTCCCAGTTCGCGCGCGCGCAGGACAAGATCGGTGTGTGTCGTCGCGCCGAAAGGGTCGCCGACGACGCAAAAGGCGACGTCTTCGGTCTGGGCGTCGCGGAGGATCTCGTCGCTGTTGGACTCGACCATTTCGCGGTCGGCGACTACGATTTCGCGGCCATAGTAGCTTTCCTACGGAGGGGCATTTTGACGTTAGGAAATGCGTCGTCTGCCATGGTCATTGATGTAAGAGAAGTAGGAACGCACCAAAACAGTCTTGTCCACGAGGAGGATGCTAGTGTAGGCTTCGAGATAAACCCTGGCGGCCTTCTTGACGACCTCGAGACCCTTGACAGTGATGTCGGTCTCATCGGACAACCCAAGCCCAACAAGGTACAGCATCTTATCTGAGATCCTCTGGGAGCTCTTCTAATAGGGAAAGACTTGAATGATTTCGGTGAGTCGTCAAGTCGCAGGGAACCCCAATAGAGTCTGGCAACTTTTCGTCTTTCTTTTTTTCTCCCTTCGTATGGAGGGGAAACAGGATGGAGGGGTAGTTATTCTTTTTAGCGCTGCAACCCCACCAACAACACCCCTGGACCTTGTCTCGCCTAGCCCCTCTTAAGTTTTGAACCCCTGTGGCCTTCTTCCGACCCCCGGCGCAACTTCCCCAGGCATCAACTTTCATCATCGAACGCGTCCAGCAAGTACCCCCGTCACGACTCCACGCAGTTAGCAAAGCTCCCAAAAGACCACCTGCTGCACCTACATCTTTCCGAACCTTTCACCGAGATTGCCGTAACCCCCCGGAGGCAAAGCCGGTTGACCGCTCAATATTGTACAATGGCCGACAAGAAAGGTAGCGCGTACGGCGCGCCAGCAGACGACACCGACTTTCGCAAGACGTGGGACCTCGACGAGTACGCCGCGAAGGCCAAAGACCGTGAGGCCAAGGAGAAGGAGGAGTCCAAGGCGCGTTACGAGGCCAAGTTGGCCGGCAAGAAATACCACAAGCCTCTGACTGGTAACGAGACTTTCACGCAGGCGCGGCGCAACGTGCTGGACCTTAGTGCGCAGGTCGGCAAGACGCAGCTGGTGCCCGCGGGCGCAGGCGTGGGCAAGCGTGGCCGCGGCGCAGGTTTCTACTGCGAGCCCTGCGACCTCACATTCAAAGACAACAAGCAATATGTCGAGCACATGAACACGCCGCAGCACCTGGCCAACACGGGGCAGACGAACGAGGTGCGGCGTGCGACGGCCGAGGAGGTGAGGGAGCGGATCGAGTGGCACTGGCAGCGGAAGCTTGACCTCGAGAAGGAGAAGGCGACGAGTCTGCAGGACAGGCTTGCGCTTCGAGAAGAGGAGAGCCTGAAGGAGGCCGAGGAGAGGAGGAAGAAGAGGAAGGAGGCAGACGAGAAGAGGAGGGCCGAGAAAGAGGCGGCGGAGAAGGTCAAGCTGGAGTACGGGGATGATGTGAGGATTGAGGGGGAGCACGACGAAGAGGATATGATGGCGGCGATGGGGATCACTGGATTCGGGGGGACGAAGAAAAAATGAGGCGATTTGACCCCGGGGGGGTAGTGTTTGGCTTGAGAGTTGTACGATGTCGCAGGATGCAAAAGTGATACCCTTCAGGACGCGGTGAACTGGAAAATTACATGCAACGGGGGCGTTCCTGCCACAGGATCTCCATCACATGTGGTATTCCGCTAGGAATCAGTCTGGGTGTCATCGATTTGGGTTCATTTTCACCGAGACATTGTCGGTGTACCTCGGTGAGAACGAGGTAGGCCCGCCCCGCACCTGACAAGCCCCTGCAGTCCGTGTTACCCCATACTAGCATTGGCGCCGACTTCGACCTCACCACCGTCGCCGGTTTGCCGTCCACCCTCCAACCCAAATCGTACTCGCCTCGCTCGCGACAGACCTCACACACCGCCATATGTTTCCTCGCACATAGACATCCCGAAAGCAACACAGGTACGACGAGAACAATCTCCTAGAGTTTTACACAACCGCCCTTCGAATTCCGTCGTTCCCGAACAGCCTGTCCAGTCGTCTGCGTGCGCGCGCCCACCACGACCCCCGAGTGCCACCCTCCGATCGGCAAGCGGCTTCTCTAGGAATACATACCACTCTGTTACAGTAGAAGACCGGGGGTTCTTTCAGAGTCACCTGCGATACCATGGCGTCATCTTCCGCCGCAGCGGCATCGTTGCTGGGCCGACAGCTCAAGGAGATGCAGACGGGCAAGGACATACCGGGAATATCGTGCGGCCTGGTCAATGACAATAACATCTTTGAGTGGGAGGTCATGCTTATGATTAGCGATGACTGCAAGTACTACGGAGGTATGATTCTTGCCCCTTTCCATTCTGGCACAAACCCGGTTGCCCACGGGACACCCTGTGGCCAAGATTCCCCTTCTGTCTGTCTGTTTGTTTGCCCACACAGTCCACTAACATCGAGCCCCCCAAACAGGAGGCAACTTCCGCGCACGTCTTGTCTTCCCTCCAAACTACCCCCTCATGCCTCCCTCCCTGACGTTTCAGACGCCGATTCCGTTCCACCCCAATATCTACCCCGACGGGCGGCTGTGCATCTCGATCCTGCACCCGCCAGAGGAGGACCAGTACGGTTACGAGGCGGCCTCGGAGCGGTGGAGCCCGGTGCAGAGCCCCGAGACGATCCTGCTGAGCACGATCAGCCTCTTCCACGGGCCCAACGACGAGTCGCCCGCCAACGTCGAGGCCGCGCGCATGTTCCGCGAGGAGAGGGAGGGAAAGAACAAGGACTTCCGGAGGCGGTGTCGGGCTTGCGTTCGGGAGAGTTTGGGGGAAGACTGAGGCGTTTGTGCGTCTATAGGGGGTAGGTATGGGGTTGGATGAACCTGCGTTTTCAATGGCGGACTCATGAGTCCTTTGGGGTTCGAGTGGGGGAGGACGACGTAGGGACGCCTGCGACCTTGGGCGGGTTTCTGTAAGGGAGCATGACGGCAAACAGGTGACACCGGGGTGACAGGACCACTGCATCATGGCGTTTTGGAGATATCAGCAGCATTTACTAGGCTGGGCCGGCACTCGGATTGACGTCTTTCTCATTCGTGGCGCCTGACGGAACTGGGCTTCCGTTTTGGACCTGTATTGTATGGCTTGGATTTGTCCGACTGCACGTCGCCCAATGAACCACAGGTGAAATAGTCCCACTCACGTCCCGCTGTGCGGCTTACCCTCGTTCAAGACACCGAGTCAAGGTGGTATTGTCCAATAATACCAGACCGATCGCCAACTGGTTTTCGAGATACGAACAAGATAGCGGGCAATGCAGCATCGGTTCCTGCCGAGGATGGGACTTTTCAATCTCTACATCACTAATCGAGTGAAGATAACCCCTGGTACCGTCAGGATGTGGGTCAAGCATGAGCTGGGTTAAATATTTGCTAAAAGCAAGTGCGTAGCGTACAAGCACTCAGTTACCAAGCGTGACGATGGAGACCACTTTATCATTTGGGTTCATAATGGATATGTTCAAGCTGCGGGGCCTGAAGACAAGTACTAACCGGTTACGAAGCGACCACACGCTCGCTTCTGGATGAGATCTCGCTATAAACCAACCCTCTCCTTTCCTAGTTGTGTAGGAATCACGACAGAAAAGATAAGACTTCTGCTGATGCGCCTACCACCAGCAGTGTCCACGCCATGCATTAATGGGGCGTGGACACCCAGGGCTACTTCCCGTAGGGAGAGCGGTACGGCGGTTGGTGATGGAGAACCTCGTTGATTGCAGGCTCCAATGCTGGAGATAACGCTGGCTACAGAAGCCAGCTCGTCGATGGTAGACGGCCTGGGACCTGGCAAGGGATTGGTACCCATGATGTTGCGGCTGACGCAGACTTCAGAACAAGCAAGGAGAGGAATTTCAATGGAAAATGGAGGGCTTCCTCTTACGGATGGGAGACCTGTGGGTATATCTCACCTCTGCTTCTCGCGTCAACTACGCTGGATCGGCGGTGAAACCGTACCTAGCAAAACACATTTTGCCCTGGCGGAAAGGCTCAAACTTGCATTCTCTAATTTTTGCCGATTTGTATCCGGCGGTTTCCTGAAGGATCGGAAATTAAAGGCGTTAATAATTTGGCAGAATGCCATGGTGCATAGGCACGCCTGTTGATTGCTTCTGTAGCGGTCGTCTTGCCGTCGTTTCTCTATCATGGGCTTCGTTGACCAGCAACTGGTCTTCTTGCAGACATAGCACTTGCGATCGAACGGGGAATTTGTGATGGGGTGGGCGGTGTCATGATAGTCAACTTCTGCCTCGACCGTGGTTGTTGCCGAAGCAATCGTCTCTGCCGCGGCCGTGATACGTAAGATCAACCCGCAGATAATCTAGCAAGACACCATCAGCTTTGATTGATTGCATCGCGGTGCTTACGGCCGATAAGAGCTGGATGCAGACCCCTTTCCATATCGGGTGGCTGGACTGCAGAGACCAAAAGTGCACTCTGAGATCCTGGCGCAGACAACGCTGGTGTTGTGAAGATATTATGGTATTGACGTTCCGAGCTAATTGTCTAACGTTTCCTGTCTACTGTGTGGAGTGGGTAATTGAACTAAGGTAGGGTCCTGACTGCAACAAAATAGGGATTGAGTTAGGTACTATGATCTGGGTTGTATCGGCATGCTTCAGTGGCAAGAGCCTCTGGTTCTCGCGGACTCGTGAAGGCACTTGTCTGGTTGTCATCAACTGTCGCATGAGGCTCGGGTATATTGGGCTCAGACTCGGATGTCTGTCTCAAGCTGAGGTGCGGATAGAAACAAGCTCAGGCTCTTTGGTACAGTTTACTCGGTGTTGTTGCGAGGAAGGGGTTGAGCGGGTCCCCGTCGTCTTACTTCCTATGAATGTACGGATACTCGCTTACATTACACGCATTGTCACCCAGCCGCTGTGATTGGATGGATGCTTACTGAAGGCGGCAGAAGTGAAGATTGCGTCTACCAGATCAGGGGATCGAAGTTCAATAACAGAACCATAGCTCACTTCAGTCTAAATCTTTCGCAAACCGAGCTATGTCTGCCACGATCCGCGGGCGGGCAAGCACATTGTGAGTTCATGAAATGGCCGCGTGAGCGGGCCACGCGCCTCGCAGTGTCCATTCAGGGCCCAACAAGCGACTCTATCCACCGGGCATTCCGCGACGATCAAGGACATCTATGATTGATTTAGGATATTGATTTCTCTCCCCGGCATGAAGCTTGGATTTGTGATTCGCCTTGGTCATAACCGACCAATATCAGTAGGTTGGTTTCGTACCATTTCATTGGTCTAGTTTCACGCTGTATGTACTGACTGTTAAGTAGAATGTGGTGACGGGATCACGGGCCATTGCTGCACCAAGCTGGACGAGAAAACGTTCACCCCCACCAATTGGTGTTTCTGCATCATGTGAAAAAGGAAAAAAAGGAAAGAAAAGGGAAGTTTAATCAAGCTTAACCTTAGCTACTACTTATCTAATTATGCTGGCTCTCTCCGGGCCTCCGGAGTGTTTTCCGGAAGTGGGATATTTCTGGCATGCTGGTGATGCGGATACTACCGGATAATCCTACGTATACCCAAGGGTTCTATCCGTAAACTGGCATGGGAAAACTAGCTGTGAGACGGCTAGTAGTATAGTTCGGGATCTAGGGCGTCCTGGAGTCAATTATCCCGGTATATCAAACGACCCACTATCGGACCGGTTTGCACTTAATCCCAGGATCTTGCTTACTACAGTTCACCTCCGCTGGCAACAGCCTCAACCTAGGTATCGCCTCGGTGATAGAGCCCAACGGAGTAGCATGGACCATCTTGGGCGTTATTGTGCCCATTGCCAATGAGCAGGGTTTACCCGTGAATGGCCGCTCTGGCGTGGTGGTTTTTGTCATGCTGGTGGCACCACTGTTTATGTGATTGGTGATGGGGTGTTAGGGTTATCATCTTTGCGAATGGTAGTCTGCCATTGGGAGGTTAGGGGTTGCATGTAAATACAAACATCGGACGCTTTAGTGCACCGGCCCTGCATGGCGGCCCGCCCTTCGATCCGTGGCAAAGCTGGTAAAAGCTGTATCAAACCATTGAATAAAACGTTAGCCAGGGTTTCATCCCGTACATCAGGAAAAGATTGTTCATAACTCATGGTCATCGTAGACCCATGACTCGAAAGTTTAGTCAGGTACCAAACTAGAACTGTGTCGGTCTATCAATAGTAATTTCACGCCCATGTATTTGATGAAATCGCGTCCACCTTTCCTTGTATGGCCAATCTCAGGCAGGGCAGGATCGGCGAGGAAGGAGTCAGGTCAAGAAAGTGGTTGCACTCTGGTAGGCAATGACATAACTCTGCTTGCAATTTGTGTTGGAGGAACAAACATCATTGTGAGTAGGCATACCCACATGATAAGCAAACGCCAAGCTTTTCTAGCATGATCAGACAGAAGACTCTATCCTGCAGAAAACTCTATTCTGATATGGAGAATTGCAAGCCTAAAAGAATGACACAGCTCTACAAGTAAGGCGCCGAAGTAATGCGCAGGCGGAGTTGGGGTGGTGTGATCAGATGCTCAAGGCCATCTTTAGATCGCTCAGACGGGCGCGTGCTCGCCCAGCGGCCTGAAGGATATGACTGGATTGACCTTATAATCGGTTTGGGCTGTAAAGTGTATGGTAGGGGGTGCTTGGATTCTGCTGGTATAACAATACCTAGGTAACAGCAACTTGGTCGTTAGAACCCAGTTCCTCGGTGCAGGGCAGGCAGGCAGGGCGTGCTTCAACTTAGATTGGGACCACATCAACAGAAGATACCCTCGCTCCATGGGGAGTAGTCTGACTCAGCAGCAGGTGGATTTGGTACAAGGACAAGCCTATTGTGGTGCCCAGCTGTCCAATGGCATTGAGCCTGCCCCTAAGACTACCTTAGCCGAAAAGTGCGAATACGACAGCAAGTGCGAAAGGCTCCACGGAACAGGCGCAGGTTGTGCCCCCCCTTCTATTAACCGTTCTTCAATCTTTCAACGGTACGCGCCAACAAGGGCTCTGCGTACTTTAGCTGCTAGGCCGGACCAGCTTCACCGAGGTTATATCTTGCGGCAAAGATGCCGGCCTAGATTTTGCGAGCATCGACCTATCGTCTCGAGCCTCGAGATCCTCCGCGCCCAATACACCGAACTCCTCGGACAAATGCCGAGTACGAATATGCAGTCGAACCCGTCCAGACGTTCCCACCCAAAGACTCGAACCGGTTGTAAGACCTGCAAGACAAGAAAGATCAAGGTATGCGCACGCCCATTTTTTCCTTGGAACACGCGCGACTGGACGGCCTATAACAATGGCGACGGGCTTAGAGACGTTTGTACCAGTACTGTTGTACTTGGACCCGGCCAAGCCGATGGGTGGGTGGGATGGCTATGTCGGCGTCGGTAAACCGCGTACGGCCTTGACTGCTAACGTACCACCTCTAGTGCGACGAACAGAGACCGGCATGTAAAAACTGCATCAAACATGGCGTCGCGTGTGGCTTTCTGGCGTCCCCGTCGTTGGATCCGATGCTGTCCCTCTCTCAACATGCCGGCGACCTGAACTTCCTCGATCTCGAGCTGTTACACCACTATTGCAACTTCACCGCCCATACTCTTTCCGAGAACCCTCTATTGCGCGAGTTTTGGCGCATCAATGTTGTCAAGCTGGGTCTTGAATGCGACTACGTCATGCGCAGTATCCTCTCCCTATCGGCTCTTCATATTGCGCATTTGAACCCGGAAAGGAAAGATGGCTTGCTAGAGAAGTCCATGGCCCATCACGAAATGTCGTCGCGGACGGCCGTCAGCTTGATGCAAAACGTACAAGACGAGAACAAGGCACCACTGTTTATCTTTTCAGTCTTGACCATCTACATCGGTAAGACGATTCGCATCTAGTGGATGGCGTTAGCTTGCTGACTTACCATCGGCCGCCAGTGCTGGCAAACTCCCGGTATCTGAACGAGGCGCCCTTGGCCAGCGCAGAGCAATCTCCCGACTGGATCGTATTGTTCTGCGGGACGAGGTATCTGGTCGGAGAGCCGAATACAAATCCCCTGATTTCCCCAATCATTAGCCGAACAGTAGCGCACTTCCAGTTCCGAGAAGCTCCATGCCATCACACCCATTTGGGCGATCTGGAAGCCAACATCAATGCGTCGGAGAGCGACGACGGCCTTCTGGCCATATACAACCACGCCATCAACGAGCTCTACAAATCATACGGCGTCTTCTACGAAAGCTCGGAACCACAAGACATCATTGACGTCTTCATCTGGATCGCCATGGTTGCCGATGACTTTCTCCCCCTCCTGCGGGAGTCAAGGCAGAAGGCCTTGGTCATTTTCCTATATTTCTGCATGCTTCTCCGGCAGCTACGCAGTCAATGGTGGCTAGATGTTTGGGCCAGCAATCTTTATGCCAAGACGTATGAGCTGCTGGACGAGGAACATAGGTCTTGGATCAGGGATCCAACAATCCAAAACCCCGATATTTGCCTGTGAAAGCCCCCTCGCTTTGGACCCGTGGTTTTCCCAGTGGCAAAACCGCCACAATTGCCGCTCACTGCCGGTAAGCCGTCGCGAATGGTTCCACTTTGGGTTGCAGCGGCTTCTTCGTGTCGGCCAGAGAATCCGACGACGGAAAGTGGTGGCTGTGACTGAAGCCCCTCGTCTCCTGGGAATGTTTTCCAACAGGGACGAGCTACCGCCGAGCTCTAGGTGTTCTGTCGCTTTTCGAATACTTCTGTTCTTCAATGTGCCCAAGGAAACAGCACCAAGAAGGCCAGTATGTTTGCCACCGTGGGAACCGTATCCAAGGTACAGTGACAGATTTAGAGCGACCAGATCATCACAGCCGTCTTGCCGGTGTCCAAACACATGGAGGATGTCTCGATGCCGACAATGACGAGAGCCATAGCGTGGAAAGCGCGGAAAGGGCTTCACCAAAGGCCGGTCGCTTCGATCGCTACAGTGGCTGGGGTGTCTGCATCTTCATTGGTGAAAGAGAGCCGTCGTGACGTTGGAGACGTCCGTCAAGTCGCCTGGAGGCCGCCGACAATGACTATTTGCTAGCCAGCGTCATAGAGGCCTAAGTTCCTGCGGGCCGAACTTGTTCCCCTCGTGTCCGCATCGTATGTGAACCGATGCTGTCAATGACAGAGGACTCGGCAATATGGAGCACCGAGAGTTGGGGCGATGTTTCTAGCTCGTGCGGGGTTCGAATGAGTGGTCAAGATTTGTGATGAGGTGAACAGTTTAGGTGTAAAGCCGGCGCGTTCTGAAATCGCTCAGGGAACGAGACCGGTGACCATTAGGTCGCCTTCGTCATCGTCTTTACCCGCGACTCTCGATTGTCTGGAACGGCTAAGGATCAGTATGCGGGCAAGAAAAGGGGCGGCCGCAGACTGCCTCGCCGTGGTGGATGTAGTCAGGGGAGCTCAACGCGAGGATACCCAAGTATAGGAAGCTTTGGACTCGGCCTTGACGCAAACGTCGAAGCTGGGTTGAGATGACCAAATCAGCATTGAAAATAGTGACAGTCACCAGGGGCAGCATCTAGCGGGAGAAACAAAAGCCTCCAGCTAGCCAGGCAAACGCGGCTGTTTGCCCGACACCCATAGTCGCGTCGTGACCGTCCATGTCAGCCCCGCTCCAAGGGGGTAACTGTACGAGGTATCTGAAGGAGGTGCATTAGATGAAAGCTAGTCAAGCGATTTGTACCGCGCTTCCCTTATACGAGAACGACGTGACGAGCGAGTTCGAAGAAACAAGTGAAGATGGAGTGAGTAAACGTAAGAGAGATTTCTAGCAAACGACACGGATTCGAGGACCCTCTTTAATAGAGCAGCTCCCCTTTGTCACACAGGATAAAAAGTGCGCAGTGCATGCTGCCAGTCGGGATTCTTGCATGTCTTGCATTTAACCGAATCCGAGGGGATCGGACACTTCGCCAATCGTCATCACGTATACCTAGTGTGTATACCTAGGTATCAAAGGAATTGTGAGGCTTAAGTGATTGCTAATATGGACTACGACTGCAATATTATGCTGCGCCACGTCTATGGAAGCCAAGAGGGTCCGGGCTACTCGTACTCGCATGCAGCAGTGTTCTTGGTGCGGCTTAAAGCAGTGAATGCATTACCGCATACATCCGGATATAACCTGCCTATGCATGCTTGATTGATCACCGAACATAAGAGTAGTATCTCAGATAGCTACCATGCTACAGACGTTGACATGACGCTTCTGGTACGTAATCTTTGCGGGTGCTAATTTAATGAATGATTACAGTACACACTGTCAGCCTCTACTCCTGTAACAGGGCTCTGCTCACCAGACTGCACAAAGGATGCTTCCCGATATATGCCATCAAACTTGGTGAATACTGACGACTAGAAGCAGAAAATGTAGCGAACCAATTGGCACCAAGTTACGTACATAAATGGCCTTCACAAGTATCTGACAAGTCGTATTCACTGAGGCGTTGAGACGATTCACAGCCTGTTTGATTGCCGCCATTGTGTAACCCCCCGTCCCCCGGCTGTACATGCAAAGTTTCGTGAACCCCGAATTCATCTCATAGTTCGGCTGTGGAGGATCATGTATATTACATTCCTCCATCCACTCCTGTTGTCATCACTTGACTACTGCGGAGGTGCATGCTTGATTCGAATCGTGGGACCCGAAATCCGTGGCGGGGGTGCTTGGTTCGCGATTGACTTTTGAAATGGTTCAAATGATTGACGTCAAGGTGTGACGCCGATCAACGAGATGATAACGAACATTAGCTTAGGTACTCAACAGCCGCCAGATCGGGTTCCTGAGTGACTCGTCGACTCGGCCAGTGCGGGGTCAACCGTCCGAGAAACCGTCTCCAACCATGACGCCCTCCAAATGACCATTCCGGACACCGCTATCATATCAGTTCTCCAAGCCTCCGGCAGCTGAAACCATCAATTTCGGATAACTAATGGCTCGAGAGTCGGATCGAGAGTCGGACACATACTTGGAGAACCTGCCGACCGAGGTCCTGCTCCAGATACTGACGCAGATCACCGACGTCCACTGTCTCTGGAATCTCCTCGTCTCGTCACCAGCAGCGGGCCGGGTGTTTAATCGATACTGCGATGATATTTTCTGGCCTTCTATCCACGATGGCATCGTACCACCGCAGACCCAGGATGTCATACGGTGTATAATCTCCCTCCGCTCTGGCGCTTTCCGAACCACGCCGTTGGATCAGCTCGCCGGCAAGATCAGAGATGGCGAAGCCGGCATTGTGCTCGGTCAGAGCTCGGAACTGGGATACAGCCTTCCAACCATAGACACGACAGCCAAGCCTTCGCTGACGGTGATGCGGTCCATCTTGGCGGTCGCCAGCCAGATACACGCCTTGAGCCGACTCTGCGTCGGCCACTATCTTGCAACCCTCTCAGCCGCCAAGGCGGCGGGTCGGCTGGATGCCACGCCCGAAGGGTCGATCAACGGTCAGCTGTCGTGGGTGGAGGAGCAACGTATCATTCGCGCTTTCTGGCGTGTTCAGCTGGTACGCGAATTGAATCTCGCAGCGCGCACGTCGAAAGTACAGTCTTCCGATGAAGGCGCCGGCACACCGAGAGAACTTGATGTCGAGGCCTTTTACGACAGCACCACGAGCAACCTCAAAGTTGCGTATCACGAAGTCATGTCGGCGTTGGACTTTCTCAAAGAGAGTGACCTTGGGAAAGCCCCCTATCGGACCACTGCGTTGAAGCGAATGCAGTCGAACAATTACACGGGAACAAGCATCTCGCCATCGACTGCAAGAATGCCCCCCGACTCTGCCACCCGAAGGTCGTCTTTGGTGCTGCCGGCGGACGGGCTCTGGATCGTGGACAGCATGGGAAGGAATGCGCACTCGCCAATCAAGTATGCCGGTTTCGGGCCGTACAGGAGGATGGGATTCGCAATATGGGACCGGGAGAGGCTTGCGAGGCTAGGGCTGGCCAGTCCGCCAGGCCATGGCCGCGTCACGGGCCTGGGGTCCTACTTTTCCTTCTGGTTGAACCTTCTGGACACGCAGGAGATGTCCCGTGCCGAGGAACGGATGCGGGAAGCAGAGTGTCGAGGTGGGCGGCTGGCCCCGTTGCAACCCATGATACAGGATAACGCGTCCTAAGGGGATTGATTGACGAGGACGACTAGCCCAAGCATACTGAATTTGTTAGCCGCTGCTTTTGCATTCGTCCCTCACGCTGAAGAGTCAGTCAGGTTGTGCTTACTTAGTCTCAACTCACTCGCTTGAAAATGCGATATGACTAGCACACAGCTGGTGCCAACTGTTTCACTAGCCCCTCCTCCTTTAGCGGAACTAGGATGCACAATACTAGTTAGTGTCCTCCGTACACGACGGGGGGACACTCTGCCGGCTTGCCGAAATCCGTGGCGAACATGCTGACTGACGTGAGCCACGTGTTTGTCGCGTGTAGCATCCCTGCGAGGAAACATGACTCCCGGTTGCGACACCTAGACCTGCTGATCTCATCTCCAAATGTCTACTCGGCGCGCGCACAGCGTGAGGCAGCCGTGGTCAGGTACAAGAGAGGAATGCTGCCTGCATGGGAGCGCGCCGACGGGCTAAGCGCCCTGGGTCCGGCGAGGCGGGTTCCTGAAACCAGCCACACTCAGCGCGCATCAGCCTGGGCTAACTCTAAGTAACTTGACAGCTTGCAACGAGATTCGCTCTGCCGCCGGTGACGGATGGGGGGACGGACTCAGACTTCGTATCTGATACGCAAGGCACGTATATGTGTCTATGTAGACATCGGCCGAGGCAGCAGCGTTTTCTGCATCTATATTAATCGTGCACGCTCGTCCGCGTCACCCATCCGCCCGGACCGATTTGTTTTTCTTCTTCTCCCCCCCCCCCCCCCCCCCCCCCCGGACAGAAACGAGACACATCAGCCCAAATCCCCCATTAGGGACTCACCACTGGGTCGGTTGTTTCCCGCTCCCTCTTGTCTCGAAACTCGTGCAAACTGCCGTCTCGCACCCACCTCTAACATGGACCCCATCCGCGCCTGCAAACGACCCACTCCGGGATCCGTGACAGGACAGCGGGTCCGGCCATCCGCCGGCGAGGTGTCCGAGACGAGGCCGGACCAGCGCGTCGGCTTCGCGGACCTGCCGGCCGAAATCCACCTCCTCGTCTCCCAGCAGCTCATCTACCCCGACGCGCTCTCGCTGAAGCACACCAGCAGCTACTTCTACTACCTCGTCGACACGGGCGTGCGCCTCAAGGTGGAGTGGCTCATGGAGCGCCGCATGCTACACCTTGAGTGCCCCAACGACAGGCGGTGCGACCTCGGCAGCGACCTTCGCTTCTGCAGAGGCAGCGTGCCGTACGTTCTCACGGCGGCGCTTTCACATATTCTCTCTTCTTTTCCCCTCCCTTTCCATTCTCCGTTTCCTTTCCTTTCCTTTCCTTCTTACCGAGTCCGAGCACTAACCTTTTCCCCCTTTCCAGTCTTCTGATGCAGAGACGGCGAGAACACATGGAGTGCGAGTCGAGACCGGGCCTCGGCTGCCTGGTCTACGGCACGTCCGTGTGCTCCCACCGCCGAAAGATCAGCGCGCGATGCCAACGCTGGTTGAGGCGCAGGCTGACGGTGGAGCTGTGGTGGGTTCTGCTCGCCCTGCTGCCTGTCGTCCTGTGCTGGCTCTGGATGGGCCATGTCGTGGCATGGATTGATTCCCGGAAGCACTACAATTTCGAACCCTTCGCCATGACAGAGTCATATGATTCGGCGACGAACTGAAAAGCTTTCAACGGGGGTGTCGGTTTATTCGCGGGACGGGGGGGGGGCGTATTTTCTTATCTCTCGCCTTTCTTCAGAAAGGGAATGGCACAAGGCGTTGTGGCATAGTATATTATTATTAGATCCTTGTCATGGCCTGCCTGGCACCTTGCTTCATGGGTATCTCAAGCGTCATAGGACTCTGTTGGAATCTTAAAGACAGGCGTTCAAGATCTGATGTATTGCACTCTGCATATGATTGGCTTAAACACTTTGGCTGCTTGTTTGTTTGCAGCTGACTTTCTAGACCTAGACGTTTTCTGCTGTCATCTCTTCGTCGTTAGCTGCTTGTGATGGACCCCCTAAATGCCGTTGGGAAGCTGCTTGGAACTGATGTGACGCTTCGCAAGCATCTTTTCAGGTAGAGCTCAGTAGACTTTGAAGATTTCCTAGTCTGATTTGGGCATGTGGTCGCCAGTTGTGTTTCGCGTGCAGGGAGTGAAGTACCCATCTACTCTTGAAAGCACGAATCCGACAAGGTTCGCCATAAGTGCTCTCCAGGTAAAACCCATAACGCCATCATTCACATACTTACTTCAAGACCTCAAAGGCATGGTAGAACTCAATCCCTTTTACCCAACAATTGACACCTGCGCCGCCTCTGCTTTGCGTCATCGACGTCTTCCTCGATCGCATCGATACCATTCTCTCTCCACTCCTCCACGGAGAGGTCGTAGTTCTTCTCCCAGTCGGGTCGGCCGACGCCGAGCGCCTCGTGCGCCTCCCGGAGCTTGGGATCCCTGCTTGCCAAGACGAAGCCCGAAAGCGCCTTCTCAAAGCCGGCGACGATGGCAACCATGCCCGCGACGCGCTCGTCCTGCATGAGGACGTCCCGATCCTCGTCGGACAGGTTCGGCTTGTGCACCAACCAGCATGCGGTGGTGGCCTGGACGACGTGGCCGAACCGGGCTGCGCGCCGCATGACGCTGTCCTCCAGCTTGTCGGCGAGGGCGAGGTAGCGCTGCAGCTGCCCGCGCGTCAGCTGGCACTGGTCAAAGTCGTCGAGGAGCTTCTCGGCCTTGGCCTTGCGGCGGAGGGCGCTCGAGATGAAGAAGGCCTCCTCGACGGGTTGCTCCACGAATATCCGTCGGCAGTGCTCACAGTCGCTCAGCTCCTCTTCCTGCGATGCCATATTATCTTGGTCCATGTTGATTAAAGACCGCTCACTAGCTGATTGTATTGAAGTGTTATGTGACGGAGCGGATATATAACACGAATTGAAGTAGATGGCGTTGAGAATGTGCAAGGCTCCGGAACTAGCTATATAACCTAGGCATAATTAAGATGGACCGCAGCAGCGTTCAGCTTCAAAAACGTACAGAAAAAACAGGAGCCAGCGGCGAAATTGGGCTGTCCTCTGAACAGACAAAGATGTACAGTACTTGACATTGGATTGTTTTCGACCCCTTGTTTGAATAGCACGTTACTTCTGTACCAAGATTGTCCATTCTACCGAGACAAAGTGACATTCGGATTTCTGACAATGAATCGAATCAAGTCCAGCTCGTTGATCAACGCATAAAGAACCCGTTGGACGTGTTTCGGCGAAACCGCCCACTTCAATTACCGTCACCAGGATACTCGGGCAAGTCCAGGAGCAGCCCCCCCCCTCTCATTCATGTGCTTTTGTTCGGCCTTGACAACCTCGACGAGGCCGCCGGCACCTCGAAAATACAGCTGCTGGCTCATGATCAACATCAGGACGGATTATGCCAGTTGATCGTTGCACATTGCAGGGTTGCTGTGTGGCATCGAATACATTAGATGGGCTTGAAAACGGTATACTGTGATTGGTCAGAGAACTGGGCGCCGTCAAAAAAGGTGACCGAATTGTTCAAGATACTAGTTAGACCTTGACCTCATTTCGGATCGGTATTCTGGCTAGTTACATATTCCTGTGCTACGCTTATCTTGGGCTTGCGATATTGCCTGGGCGACCTTGAGAATTCAACTCTAAGCGGGTCTAGCACGAACCGCAACCGATGCAAGGAAAGGTCACTATAGATGGACGATCAAGCCATGTGAATGGCAGATCCATGGTCTATTACCCTATGCTGATATGGGCCGTGACTCGTGACTCGTTCGTATAAAAATGACATGATCCCTTGTAAATAAATAGTCCCCAGCCAGTGCGCCTCGCAAGAAGCAAATGTCCTGAATGCGGCCTAGATGAAGAGCCCGCCCAAAATGAAACCCTCAACCGCTCGTGACATGCTTCTGGCGGCTCGCCAACCGCTGCCGCGTGGCCTGCAGCCTCTCGTCGTCCATGGCCGACCGCCAGGTGCAATTGTCGGCGAACTCGCACATCCGGCACTTGTACGCTTCCTCAATCTGCACCCCCCGCGGCGCACGGTCCGCCCGCCACCACTCCATGTTGCTCTCCAGGTAGAGGTCCAGCGCCCGGTCGTCCATGGGGAAGACCTGGCTGTCGATGAGCGAGCCGTCGCCTCGGTACCTGTACTCGACGGCGAGCAGCCGGCCCACAGAGTCCGCGCCATGAGGAAACGTCTCCTTCAGCTCCGACACCAAGAGGGACAGCAGCTCGCGGAGGGTTCCGTACTTGATCAAGTCGGGCGCGGAAGAGGGCGCTTTGTTTGATGTCTCGGTTGCCTCTGTTTCACTGGTTGTTGTGTTCGAGGATGATGGAGTATAGTCTCCGTCCATGGACGAATCGACGTCGAAGAGCTCGTCATGCAAGCTACCGATCTGGGCAATGAACGAGTCTGAGAACGGCGCGTCGGGGTCAAGCCCGTACCGACGGAAGACACGGAGGTAGTCCAGCCTGCCGGCCGCCATTTCCGACATGAAACGCTGATAGAGAAAGAGCTGCACCTTGGCCGGCCGCAGCAGCACAGGACTGTTCGGCACCTTCGTCGAGCCTCGCGTCTTGACATCTGTCAGATAAATCTGGGGCACTTGTGCTTGCTTCTCAGATGGGAAGTAGCTGGTGATACTCGCCTGGGTCTGGTCTTCCGGGCCCTGGCTCAGCTGCTGTTGGAACTCCGGGTCGGGGTTCTCGTAGCTCAGGCCGTCAACGACACCGTTGACGAGGTTCCCGTCGACGAAGCCCCAGACCTCGAGCTCGCGGGTCATACCCGTTTCGCGGAGCGTGCGAAGGCCCTGGACGACGTTCCATATGCGCAGGCCGAAGCCATCTTCCTTGCTCGCGATCTCTACGCGGACGGTGGTGTGCACCTCGTCTTCGAGGGCCTGGTGTACCTTGGTCCCTTGCTTCATAGCCGCTGTCCGTGTCTTCCGACCTCCCGGCAAGCGAGTCAGGGTGTAGAAGTACTGCAGCTCGCACCAGGCGCCAGATGTCAAGTCCGTGACGGTGAAGGGTTTCCGAGGGAAGGAGCGGAACCGCACGAGCGGCGATCGGGTGTCATTATTCGCCGCGTCGGCAGAGGGGTCGTCTGCCTGTCTCGGCGAAGGCGCGCGGGCACCGCCTGGGATAGCCTTGCTCACTAGACGCTTGTGAGTTAGTTAGCTTTCGGAGAGCTGTCCACTTCTCTGCTTGCGAGCATATACTTACGATCCGGGTAGCTGACGGTGTAGCCAGGTGACGACGGGGGGGCATCGGCGGGGTTCCTGTCGCGGCGGCCACCAGCTCGAAGAGCCCCCTTGGCCGTGCCGAACGGCCGAAAGGAAAGCGCATCGGCGGGAACATGATCAAGTCTCGACTCCTCCTCGGCGATGGTGTCGATGCCGAGATGCGAGACAATGGAGGGTGCGGCGGGGTTCTGCGAAGATGTGGACGTGGGGGCGGGGCCGTCGGTAATGAGCTGGCTCAGCAAAGTCTCGTCTTCAAGAGAAAGATCGTAGCCATATTCGTCGTCAGAGTCGAGTAAGAGCGAAGTTGCCATGGCGGTGCACCGCGAAAGTGCCAGGTCGGTGTATCTGGGGTTGGAAAGGGAGAGCGAGACCCTCATCGAGGGCGTCACGACTCGGGGGATCGCCACTAACGGGTCTGCCTGGAGCGCGTCGAGATGCGCTGATGAAGTCGCGTGATCACGGGGTTTCTGACTGGTATAGACCCACTCTAGCAGCATGACACCCAATCAGGGCAGCGGCTCTGTCAGCAGCTGAATGCTTACATCAGCAGCGTCAGCAACCAATCTCCTTTTGTCACTCATGGCGGCTTCTAGGGAGTCTTTGTGTGGACGTACAGCCAAAGCTGATATTATTGATGATTCTTCCTACTCAAATACTCTCTGTATCCCATGGGAAGGCAAACTTCTGTGTGTATGCGTCTTCCTACTCGACTTCCAGCCCCATGACATACCGCATCCTTTCTCCCATCCCCTTAGGGCAGTAGCTTGCTCTTCCGGCACCGCAATCGGCTAGGTAACACAACGGCGACAAGTGCTGGTGCATGGTTTCCCATTCCATCCACTCATGGGGAGGGCAAAGTTGCCATCTCAAGAGAGCTGTGAAGATCACAGCGTGATCTACTGGAGCTTCCCCCTTGCACATCAACCGTGCTGCCATCACCGTGCGGTTATCTGTCGGCCGGGGATTTCGCCACTCGAATATCGTCAGTTGTGTCGACAGATCCTTCAAAGCGGCATGTTTTTCGTCCGCGGTCATTAGCATGTCCAGGCAATCGATGTTGAAAAGACCTGTTGCAAGTTCGCACCAGGCAGCCTGGTGCGGGCTGGTGAAAGCACTAGGCAAGGGTGGTAGGGTGAAGTAATATGGTCGGATTGGAGCTACCATGCTGATAGAGCGCTGAGGAGTGTCCCGGTTGTTATCTTGCTCTGAGTTCTGTTGGCTCGGGAGCTGCGGTTGGCTTGCAGAATCGTCAAAGGGCGACATCGTGACGCGTTGGCTGCGGATGCTTCGTGTGTGCTTTCTTTTGACCCTGGACCGTCTTGTTCAACAAGTGGATTGAACTGTCGCGAGAGGTCACTGAAGCGCATGCACTGAGGTATAAGAGGGTAGAAACTCGAAGTCTTTGGGAATACTTTGATCAACTAGATTGAGCTGGTTTGTATGAGGGGGTGTGCTGTCGTGAAGCATCCGAAGGAGAATGAGGCCATGGGAAGGAGAAAGACACGGAGACCATGTTTAAGTCGAGGCTGGGGTAGAAGAAACGGAAGGTCCTGATTGAGTGAGAAGGTGATGATGCGGAAAGAAACTTCCGCACCAATGTCCCAAGTTCGAGCCGCTGATTGAAGACGCCAGGAAGGCGGATTCGGGTGGCAGAGAAGGTCCTATCATTTATGATGGAGTTGTAATTTCCGACGCCAAAAGTCAAGTACGTCCCGTCAGGACTCAGTGACCATGCCAGACTCAGTGCTGGAAACATTTTCATGACGTGTCCATGGCTTGGTATTGCTGCCATAAGCCCGGAACTGCATCTTTGTCGCCTTGAAGGCTGCGTCGGCCCCGAAGGATCTGCATCATCTCACCATCGTATTCCATCCTGGGCCATGCTTGAGTCTAGCTCTTCTCATTATTCCAAACATGCATGAGCACTGAGATCAAGCAGCGCGGGTGTCATGCAGCAGTTCTCGCTATGCTAGGATGCGTACGAGATGCACCGCCAAAACCGTGACCTGCATGAGAGGGACAATACACGAGTTTCCATGAGGCTTTCTTGAAGCCCGCACATCACATGTATGGTGGAATGAGAGGACGAGAGTTGAAGTGGTGGTACGGGCATATTGAAAGGGGGCGTTACAGCGATAGAACTTTGGCACCGCATTATCAGCTTATAAAGCTTCATGACTACGTCACTTGCATTGCTTGAGTTACGGCACGTGATTTGGCTCACTTTCAGAAGATATATAATGATTCAACTCGGATTTTAGAGGATGAATAGCCGGATCATTGTACGGTTCTCTCGATAAGCTACTACAGCCAATTGTCTTCTCTAGCAAGGCCCTGCGTTCCATCGCTTGACCACAATGCCACGCGTAGCCAGTCATCATCTTTCTTGTTCCTCCAGATCACAAAATGAAGTCCAAGCATAACCTTATCCGTAGGCTAAAACCAGTGTTCCACATCGTCTCCAAGTCCGCCATTCATAATCAAAGCAATACGTGTCTTATGTCCAGTCTAGAACCGACGTAAACACTCTCAATCAGCTCTGCCATCGCACATTCCGAGTTGTTTCCCCATCAAGTATCTTTGTGAATTCTTTTATGTAATCAACCGCTCTTGAACAGAATCCGCGGTACGCGACGCCATGGCGAAGGTCTGCTGTCGCATGCGGTCTTGGTCGGTGCGGCGTCCTTGTCGAGAGCCTCGTTGATCCGTTCGTAACTGCTGTTGACGATCATGCTCGCGAGGAACTCGCGGGAGGCGCAGTCCTCGTCCTTGATGAGCTGCACGGCCGACTTCTCCAGGTCGGTCCAGCCAGCTTTGTGGAGGTCGGCAATGAAGGACGAGAGGGCGACCCGACGGACGCATTTATCTTCGTAGCGCGCAACTTGGCCGAGAACTTCGGTCGCCTTGAAGATTTTGGCGAGCAAAATGTAGTGGTTGTCTCCGGCCAAGGTCTCAGACGTGACGACTGGGTTCCGGCGAGCGCGGCGGAGGCTGCTTGTGGGAGAATCGGCCTGGTCTTGAGCCTGGGCTACACCGTTGTGCTTCGTGGAACTGCCCCCAATCACAGGCTGTTCGACTGTTTTCTTGGGAGTCGCCTGCTTCTTGGGAGTTGTTCTTCTCTTTGGAGTCGCTTTCTTCCTCTTGGGAGGACTTGACTTCGACTGAAGAGATGGCTCCGGGGAAGCCTTACGCTTTTTCGAAGGCGATGTGGGTGATACCAGTGTGGTAACTGATCGAGTCCACGGTCGTCCAGACGTGTTGTCGCATTTGTCTGGCGTCGCCGCACCAGAGTCGCCCGTGAGCGCGGTACGCTCCGTCGGGGCATCAGGGATACTTTCTCTCGGCTTGACAATCACCATAACGACTGATTTATCGGGCATGACGGCACTCATGGACTCCGGGTTGTACTTCTCGACGCCGTTGGCGCATCGTTCAAGGTACCGAAGGGCTTCCAACCGCTGCAAGATGGCTTCCGTCTCGTTCCACGCGTCCGGGGGCATCAAGCTGTGCCGAAGGAGCGCCGTGTAAATATTGACGTCAATAAGAGGCCGCTTTCCTGTCATCATCTTTCGAACAGTCTCCACGACCCTGCATGATCCAACCGCTCGGCTATATGCAGAGATGTTGGAGTCGGAAATTCGGTTCGCAAGGAGGCTCAGAACCTCGTTCTTTTCGGCGCTGTTCAGGAGAATATCGTCCTCGTCGACATTGAACAGCTTGGTAGCTAGATTGAGCCAATCCTTTTGCCATTGAATCGAATGATGAGGCTGCATAGCCCACTTGTATTTACCAACGCCGCCTCTCGGTTGGTTGCGTCTTCGTATCTCGCCATCGCTTCCGCTGTTGCTGGGATGGGACATCCCGTCTATTGGTACCTTGGGATTCTCACTGTTGTATCATATACAGTTGTCGAGGCCAAAGGAAAAAGCTCAAAGCCGCGAAGAAGGAACTATCGAGAAGGCGAATTTGGCGTCGCAAGGTGAAAGAGGCTTGGTTGCCTTGTTTTGATAACAATAGAGGAGGAACAACAGCCTGGTACTTTCCTCGTAAGAATGAAAGAGCCGTGAAGAGATGTGATGGGCATAGCGAGTCGCTCAAGGCCGAAAAACCTTGACAGCAAAGTTGTGGTCCATGAACACGGACTGACGAGGTTCTCGACAGCCTTTACTTGTCGGAGCTTACTCTGGGCTTGACTAGCTCTGGTGAGTTGTGAAGCAGTCTCGAGGTTTCTAAGTAGGCTGACATGTTCCAGAAACACATTCATTTCCAAACAATTATGAACATGCCTGATTTCACTTATCAGGTTTGGTTATCCTTGACACATAGAAGAGCAGAGAGTCTCTGTTAAAACAGACCAGGATCGACAACTCGAAAGTCACTTCATGATATTCAATCTGAATTTTCCTGCAGATGGTGTCCAGCCACTTTTGATATGCAAACTAGCCATGATGAATGAGGTTCTAAAAACCATCAAGTCTGTATCTTGATATCGACATGAATGATAAGCTCAAATATAGCCACGAGGTGATGATGATGATGCCAATACCAGTGATGTTTCCTTTCCCGTAAATGGTGAAGATGTCTTCATCGTTCGCTTTCTCCAATCCCTTCCATAGCAAGCTTTTCGTCGTTGTAGGCAATCACACCTCTGGAGAAGACGAGAGCCACTTTCCGTTTCGCTTCAATTGCCAATAAACCTCCGGCACTTGCGGGATGACAACCCTACCGAGGCTCCCTCCACCATTCTCAGGCATCATTCTGCCCGTGTCATCGACTCTGTCACTGTTGATCAGTGATATGAAGACATGAGAGGGGTGTTTGGATGGCATACTTTAAGAATGTACCGGTTCTGATTATGTGCTTAGATGTACTATGCGATAACCAGGCCAATAGGAACCAAAATTTCCAAGGAAACGGTTCCAATGTCCAGAGCTTGGTGTTCACCCAATCGAAGAAGGTCCATTCGAGAGACTAGTCAGTGGCAAATCAGATAAGATCCATTGGTAACGGAAAACAGCCCGTCAGAATAAAAACCCACTTCACCATGTGCCGTCCGAATGGGGCTTGGCGATCACAGCCATCTTCTCTGCAAGATCCGCTGCAAGCGCCTCCGCGAGCATGATGCGTGTATCTTCGTCCTCGTTCTCGGCGATATTATGGGCCAGCGCATCAGAATCTGCCTCTACTGTGGACGTGAGATGCTTCCGGAAGGCCTTGAGCGTGACTCTGCGAGAGACTGCATCATGGAGCCGCGCCACCTTGGCCAGCTTGTCGGTAGCGATGAAGTCGAGTACGAAGGCGGCGCTATCTGTCATAGAGGGTGCCGCAGATGCTGTCATGGGTTGTTTCTTTCGGTTTGTGGTAAGGGATACCTCTCTAATGAACTGTACCTCGTCATCGCTGTCGTGTGTATTCTCAACCTTGACCTCATCCTCGTCATCGATGTCTCCGTTTTTGGCTTTGACGAGTGCCGTCGAGGCCTGCCGAGAAGGCCGGCTGCGCTTGGGTCTCGAATCTAGTTCGCCGTGCTGTCTAATTCGGCGCTTCTTCGTCTGCGTGCCTGATATTTTTGCATGTGCCGGGGTCGCTCGGCCTTTGGGGCAAGTCTCGCTTCGTCCTTCAAGGTCATCTCTACCGGTGACGCCCGCCCTCCAAAAAAGCGACTCCCAGCGCGAAAGTGAGAGGTTTGATATAGACCCAATTTTTGCTTCCGGTACCTTGGTGACACGTGCCTTTGCAGGGGATCTAGTGTCCAATACAGTGTTCCTGGTTGATACGATGAATGAGGTGTGAGGCGGGGCGTCCCTTTGCATTGGACCGGTAACGATAGGCTTGCGGTCGATTTGCTCTTCACCTTCTTCTGCCCCATCATCGGAAGTCTTGAGACTCTCACTCGTGTGGCTTGTATCAGTGTTGTCGCCAGACTCGGACGATTCAGACCCCGAGAACACGTATTCCGAGCCGTCTCCGTCCGAATCGTTACAAGACGATAACCGGTCTTCCACGACGGAATCGCTTAACGAGGACTCTTCATGGAAAATTTGGCGTCCTCGTTCGTTGGGTTGGAGTTCGGATGAGGCCTCCGGGGTAAGACTCGACGGCTCTGCGAGGGAGCTGCTCATAACGTTCCTTAGCCAAGACCTCTGCCGAGCTGTGCGGGCTGTCAAAGTGTCGTCCCTCCATTCTTCGAAGAACAAGACGCTACAAACGCCCCCTGGGACAGAGATAGCCTTGCAAACACCGTTTGTGTCCGGACAATAGAGAGCGAATAGCTTATTTTTGCTAGTCCCACCGGCCTTGTAGACAACCTTGAAGGCTTTGTTCACGGTGAATTGGGTGAGGACCATGGCCGAGCAACTGTTGACACACTGACCGGGCTTGGGAGAGCGGTCTTCGTAGTTGCGGTGAAGGCGCGGGACGAACCATCCGATCCAGAAACAATGATGGTCGGTACCCCAGTTCTCGAGGGCTGTCTCATGAGTAGTGGGCAAGTGCCAGCTGTCATGGCGCCGATTCCAATCTTTTATGATTTCACCCCTGGTCTTGAGCCACTGGCGTTCGACGAATTCGGAAGCAACGAGGCGCGTTTTCTGTGGACGAGGTTCAGCTGACCGGAGACCATCGTCGAAAGCATCTAGCCAGACGTTGTAGGCGACCTTGCCAATAGCTTGTCCGTGTTCAGGCGCCATGATGTAACCCTGTCATTGAGCGCAAAGAGTAAGTGGTGAAGAGAACCATGTAGCAACCAAAGGGGGAAAGGAAAGGGAAGTTGTGGTAGGTGGATAGATTAAAAGCCCGAGGAAGGAAATGAGGTCGGAGAGGCCGCTGGTGTGAAAGTGAGGCTCCTACGACTGCCTAATGAGGGTGGATAATGAGTTTTTTCAGTTGTGCTGGTGTCTAAGAGGGAGAAAGAGAATTCTCCCTGCTGCATATGGCTTTTGGTATTCGAGAAAAGTAACATTAGTACGGAAAGGAGTAATAGATAGATTGTCTGTGTGGCAGGTGAAGGGAGAAGAAATCGGGAGAAAGCCGACCACTGCGGCAGCAGACGAAAACCTATGTTTTTAGATACTCTATTATATAAGAGGAAGGATCGATGGGCTACCATCGAATATCTCGGCGATCTGGCTATAGCCATGGAAAGCCCTAGGCTAATGAGGTTTCTCATGTGGAAGTTGCTAGTTTTCTCATGGGGTAGACGAGTAGGTTTGTATTTCGGCTACAAATACACTAGATATCTCAAATGTCTCGCGGGGCTTTGTGTACCTTGAGCATGAGTTGAGAAGCCCATAACGTGCATCAACGTGAACATCATCAATATAGAAAACAAACGATAAGAGGTGGAAGAAACCGTCGAGGAATATATATTCCACTGTTTCTGCTCTCCATTTATACCTTTCAGGGCAACCGGTACCATAAGACCGCTGTCTTACTCGGGCTCGGGGAGATCTTGGGCTACAAGATCAATTCCGGAGAAGCCAGCATTTCGGAGGTATACGTTTCACTGCTTGGGCGACTGCAACGTGCTCTCCGTTCTACCTTCGCCTACGACAGACCACCACCCTAGAAGTGAGCCGTAAATCATGTTACAGTAAGGAGTAAGTTTGGTGTGCTCTATGATAGCGAATACACTGCCCGTTCTCAGTAACTTGCGGACGTTGGCTACATGTAGGGATCTGCTCAGAGACCGTGGGGTATATATGACGTGGGCGGCGATAATGAGATGGTACGACTTTTTTTTTGAAATCGCTGATTTGCTGTGTTGCTCTCGATATTGAGGGTTTGAAATGTGAGCAGATCTTTTCATTTCCCCGGAGTTGTCAGACAAGTCTTGAAGAAGCCCTCGGAAATGTCAGTGAACGTTCAGGTTGAACACAATGGTGCGCTTCTGGGACTGCAGAACTGAAGCACTTGGAAGTTTGTGCCTCCAGCACCGTCACTAATTTCTAGGCTCCTGGAGTCTTTACTTGAGGCGAGCATTTTTTTGTACTCGGCCACATCTCAGTTGCATCGGGCACCTTCGTAGGAAAGTTCCAGACGGAAAAGCATATTATTCTATTTGAATCTTCATATAAGTAGGACATGCATTCCCCAACAAGGATTCCAAGGAGGGTCTGCTGCCAACAGGTATATGTAATGATCAATTCCGCCTTGATGTAAGCAGTCGGCCTACTGAAACTTACGGGCCCGTCGAAGTACGATGGATGTGAACATTGTATTTTGAATTACGGAGCAAGTCAGTTATGGCGTTTGACTGCACAATGTGCGTCATAGCTAAACACAAACATCAACGCCAACATGATTGATTTTGTGCAACGCCGTCCGTCACAGAAAAAGAAAAAACCACTACTAAAAAAAACCAAAAAAAAACCGGTTGGTATCATCACTCTTCTGCCGGTCATTCTTTGCAGCCTTTTCCGGGGCGAGCTGCTGCTTACTTGGACCACCCTGCACTTGCATATCCTCACTTAAGCAACCTGCAGCAAATCGGCTGTGTTTCAAAACTTCAAGGAATTTCTTAGCGTCTTATCCAACACAAAAGAAAATGTTGTTATGTGACGGTGTAACAGTACGAAGACACGGTGTAGAAAGCTGGCGGCGGCCAGTAGGAAAAACCGGCAAAAGATGAGTCGACCGAACTGGGACTCGAACCCAGAACCTCTACCACCGGAAAGTAGCTCGCTACCATTGCGACATCCGGCCTTATTTGATGTGAGTTGCATCGAGAAATTGACATATATAGATAGAGCTTACAGCGGGGATGTGGACGCTTTGGAACGGTTTGGGGCTGGGTGGATCAAAAATAGCGTCATTTTGGCCCCCATACTAGTGGATCCTTATAGGTAGTGAGGCGGTCCCTGCATGGGCTTGCAATTCCTTCACATACCGGTACTCACCTGAATGATATCCGCAACGCTGGACCAGGACAACACACAATAAACGCAAAGAGATACTTGATACACCTGAGTCATGAGCCGGGTTCCCACAGTAGCCACTGTTGTTCGTGGCGCCAGTGTCAACATCATTCTCAAAGCTGATCAGCCCACTGGCCGCACCGTGACCGGAACCGTCCAAGATGTTCTGACCCGCGGCAACCACCCGCGAGGCATCAAAGTCCGTCTCATCGACGGCCGAGTCGGGAGAGTGCAGTCCCACGCCGGAGCGCAGCCGATCTCATCTGCTTCGGACCAAGAGCCCGCTGGAGCGGGTGCCGGATCAGCGGCCTCCATCAACGGTCGACCGCCGCGACGTGGGCAAGGCCGCCGGCAAGAAGCAGACGCTGATCTTCCTCCGTCACAAGTCGGGCTCGAGGCCTACATTCGCCCGGTCAAACAGAAGAGCGGAGCGCGGGGCAGGTCCGGGGCGGCCCCCGGCAACGAAACGGCGGACGCGGTATCTCGTCCGGCTGCATCCGAGGTGGTGACCTGTCCGGTTTGCGGCGATTTCGAAGGAGACACATCGGCGGTGGAGCATCATGTTGCTTCGCACTTTGACTAAAGGAAATTGCAACTGCGACATCATCGGCGACTTGTGAACATGGACCCTTGTCTATAGACGTCGTGATTTAACCGCCAACCAACACCACAAATCTATCCACCTCAGCTCACAGGCGGTACCTAAAACCGGCAGTTTTCCAGTCCGTCACATCCTCGTAGTCTTCGGGACGCAGCTCAACTTGATCAACCATATCCGCAACATCGTTCGCATTCCCATCCGCTTGCATTACCTTGCCGCCGCCAACAGCACCCGCGCCTCCGGCGCTACCCTCGTATCCCTCCTCCCTGGTGCGCTTGGCATTAATCCATTGCAGGTAGAACCTCAAGCCGAGCGCTAGAAACACGACAAGCGCGTAACAGATCATGATGGTCCGGAAGGCGGTGTTGTAGTGTGGCTCCTCGGAAGCTTTGAAGAACTGAGGGCCGGCGATATTACCGGCGCAGTAAGCCAGAAACAGCAACGCAGACATTGTCATCTTCTTGGTCACGCCGCGATAGTTGGCCTGGACTAGAGACATGGCTAGCGGCATGGCAGCGGGCCCGGGCGCGAGGAGGAAGTAGCCGAACAGCTGGACGCCGCTACTGACGCTCTCGCGAGAGTAAATGATAGCCGAACCCGTGATGCACGGAAGAACGATGATGGCGATCAAGATACAGTTCATCTTGCGGTAGCGGCCTGCAATCCAGCCGGTTCCGGCGATGACGCCGGCTGTGAGCAGCGAGTAGGGGATATTGATGAGGGTCGACTGCAGGCTCGTGAAGCCGAATGACTTGATGACGAGATTGGCAAAGTTCTGGGTACCGCCGTTGGGGATCTGCGTGATGATCTCGAGACCAAATATGAACCAAGTCTTGGGATCGATCAAGCATTCCATTGCCTGGTCCCATTTCCAGAGTGTCTTGGCCGTTGAGCCGGTGCCAGCGATGACCACGCGGTCGGCCGCGTACCGGCGCTCGTCGGTGGTGAGGAAGCGTGCCTTGGCGATGGTGTCGGGCAGCCAGATCCAGAGCACGAAAGCCCAAACGAATGTCAGGACGCCGAGCAGGATGTACATCGAGCGCCAGGGGCCGACCTCGTGGTCGTCGGAGACGTGGCCGAAGCCGAAAGCGACAAAGGAGGCCACGAGGCCGCCGACGCTGTTCCCGGCGAACCAGATGCCGGTGCGGGTGGGGATCTCGTCACGGGTGTACCACGTCGAGGTGAGGAACATGAAGGCCGGGGTGATTGTGGCCTCAGCGACGCCGAGGAGGAAGCGGACGGTGAGCAGGCCGCCGTAGTTGGTGCACGCGGCTGTGAGCGCGACGACGGCGCCCCAGAAGAAGGTGTTGGCGGTCATGTACTTGGCGACAGGCAGGCGTGCGATGAGGATCGACGTGGGATACGTCCAGGCAAAGTAGCCAAAATAGAAGATGCTTGACACCCAGCTGTAGTCCTGACCCTTGAGTTTCTGTTATGTGGTTGTCAGAACGATTCCGGTAGAGGTGGTTAGTTATGGTGCAAAGCGCAACTCACGGTGTCGTCTCTGAGACCAAACACGGCCGCGCTCGACAGGATCGTCTTGTCCATGAAGTTGAGCATGTACGTGATGAAGAGCAGTGGAATGAGGTTGAGGTCGATCTTTCGAACAACCCTCTTAGCCATACTGCTGTCGACATGCTGCCGTTCACCAGCCTGCGACTTGGCGGGAGGAGGGTTCTGCTGGACGTCCGATGGCGACCCCATGTTGGCTAGTAAACTCTGCCTTTCGTCGTTGCCGTGATTGTCTGCACAAGAGCGCGAGCCTACTACGAAGTCGCAAAGTGTTGCATCTCGGGACTGCCACCGGGGCATCGCCCTTTTGAATAGAGCGGCCATCCAAGAGGGCCTGGCGGGGGTGTCAAACGCGGCACCCTTTCCGCGGCGAATGAGTGAGAATGAACCAAAAAATAAGAATCCAAAATCACCGATGCTTATCTTTGCCGATCTTTGCCGACTAGAATCACGCGTCTCGCCGCCCTCTCTCTTTACACCAGCCACTGCGAACCAGAAGCTGCACCGATGGCAAGATGAACCACAGAGGGCAAGGGAGATAAGCCGACGTTCGTGCACATGGAACCGGGGTCCGATGCTGTATAGATAGCGGGGAACCCTTCCTTTGTCGGAGAAGATCCGAGCGAACAGGATACGACGGTATTCCGCTAGTAACCGGGTCTCTCAACAGTAAGACACAATGCGGAGAGAGATGACACTAGGCGTCATCTGGAGCAATAGACAATTTGAGATGGCAGGACGAGACATATATGAACAGCTTTGGCTTCACAAGGGCTGAGCCGCGCTGACTAGTTGTTATATCGGCTCGACGGTCATGGCTGGCTGATGACCAAAAATCTCACTCAAAAGGCCCTTGTTGTCCTTACTCTTATCTGATCCTTTTGCCCCACATTCCTGCGAGCATCGGCCCCGGTTTGAGCCGTTTGATACTTGCGCTTACTGCCGTAGGTTTGCAAACGAACTACGGCAAATCTGTGGCCGGTAGAAGTATGCGGGCTGTCGGTTGGTGTCCGACATGACGGGGTTTTGCGACAAGTTGCCGAGCCATATCGACAAATGCCCATAGGCGGCCATACCGTAAAGATATCCCGGCTTTGCCTCCATATCTCAAGACATTGATTGGCTCTACACCACACGACCGCATCTGAGTACATCTACACCATCAGACAAAATCCGGGGTACGAGACACAGTCACCATGAACGGTCTCGAAATCTCGCCCTTCATCGCCGCCCTCCCCAAGGTCGAGCTACACATCCACATCGAGGGTACCCTTCTCCCCGCCCTCCGGTGGAAGCTCGCCAAGCGCAACAATTTGCCCCTGCCGTACGACACCTACGATGCGCTCTTAGAATCCTACAAGGTCTTTTTCAACCACCGCCCGGAAATCAATGGCCGTGTTCCCGGCATTCCGACATTCCTGGAGGCCTACTTCGCCGGCTGCGAGGTCCTCCGAACGGAAGATGACTTTTACGAGATGTCCATGGACTACCTCCGCAGGTGCGCCGAGATGAACGTCCGCTACACCGAGCCCTTCTTCGACATCCAGGCGCACACCCGCCGGGGCGTCCCCGCCGCGGATGTGCTCAACGGCTATCTCCGAGCCCAACGCAACGGCGCGGAGCGGTACGGCGTGCGGTCCAACTGGATCTTCTGCTTCATTCGCGACGAGAGCGTCGAGGACGGCGAGGCGGCGTATCAGACGTCGAGGCCATGGGCGGGCGGCGGTGTTGAGGGTGGCAAGGGCCTCTTCCACGCCGTTGGGCTTGCGAGCAACGCGTTCAAACGACCCCCGATGCTCTTCGAGGCAGCGTTCAAGAAGGCCAAGGCCGATGGTTTGCACGTGACGATGCATTGCGACTTTGGGCAAAAGGATACCTTCGAGCACGTCCGCGAGGCCATCTTCGAGGTATGTGGCGGGGCGGGCGCGGAGCGCATCGACCACGGCCTGGACGCCGCGGACCGCGACGAGCTGCTGCAGGGCCTGCTGGATCGGGGCATCGGGCTGACCCTGTGCCCCCACGCGTATCATCGTCGCACGCCGACGCATGTGTTGTTCCCCAAGATTCGAAAGCTGTGGGAGAAGGGCGTCAAGTTCTGCATCAACAGTGATGACCCCGTGTACATGCACGATGTATGGGTGGACGGGAACATGCAGAAGGCGTACACCTACTGTAACTTCACCAAGAAGGATATGGTGACGCTAGCACGGAATGCAGTGGACATGTGTTGGGCAGGTGATGAGGTCAAACAGGAACTTTACCGAGAACTCGACGCGATCAACACGTCCGAGTAAAACAAATGTTTGTCACTGGGCAGACGCTGAGCACAATGTGGCTGCGGTGCTTTTTTATCGTCAGTTGTGAGTGGTTGATGAGGCAAACTAGCAGTTCCCTTTATCACATGGTGGCCGCCATATAGAGGAGTCGACCGCCATGAAGATCACGTCAAATGAGCTTATGAACCCGGGCCGACGATACCAGAAACATTCACAGACACCTTTATGACGATCATGAACGTGACATTCGAGGCAAAGCTAGGAAGTGACTTATTGCTCAGTTTGAGAATTAGTCGTCTACCGTTGAGTATATCCCGTGTGCGGTATTGCGGTATTAATCTAATGGAAGTTGTGTAAGGGACTTATGTGTTTAGTATACGGCCCAAGATTATAACCACATCAACAATGAGCACAGCGGTATCCGTACGCATGCTTTAATATGTCAGAATCAAGCAGAAACCCTCTGCGTCTTCTTTCCCAGTTCGCGACGATGCAGGTATTTGATCAGCAAAGCCGTGCTTGCCATGCCTGCGGCAAAGAAGACCATTGTGATGTACCCCTTAGGGTATCGAGGTGCCTCGACCTGCTGCCAAATGAGAAGTGGCAACCATGCCTGGAATACATAGGCCATCTGGTTCATCGTACCGGTTACGACAGCCCTCTCCTCGTTGTCATCCTTGCAAATCTCGTGGGCCCAGGCAAACGTCAGCCCACTGATCCCGCCGCCGAACCCGGTGAGCAGGAAGCAGCCCCATTTCCACGCGTTTGGGATGTTCCACGCCGCCAGGTTTGAGTAGATAACAACATTCAGGACGCCAGAGAAGACAATCGGGGGCCACCTCTCTCCCTTGAACACGGAATCTGAGGACCAGGCATAGATCCATGTAGTTACCACGGTGATAGCGGATGTGATGGTTGGGTAGGTGTTGTATTGTTTGACACTGTAACCCTGCCCCTTGAGCCAGATCTGGAACGCGGGCTGGCTCATGATACCGGAACCGTTGTTGAAGAAGATGTAGAGCAGCGTCAATGCCCAAATGTGCCAGCTCGTGAGGATCTTCTTGACCTTGGACTTTGTGTACGGTTGTCGGTTAGCGCGCCCCTCGATCTGCATTCGCTTCTGCGCAAGCGCAACGTCGTCTTTGTTGAGCCACCACGCCTTAGTGATCTCAGGAACATCGGGGAGGAAGAAGAATCCCGCGATTGCGATCGGCAGTGAGATGATGGTGTCGACAATGAAAAGCCACTGCCACCCCTTCCATCCGTGTACTCCGTCTAGCTTATAGACAGCCGCCATGAGGTAGCCTGAGAACATGGAGCCGATGGATCCACTCGAGTGGAAGAGGCACGATCGCTTGGCGAGCTCGTCCTTTCGGTACCAGCACCCGATAATGTACTGCATGCCCGGGTAGAATGTGCTCTCAGCGAGACCGATGAAGAAACGGAGGACGTATAACTGGTTGACATTGGTGCACTTGATCATCAAGATGGTGAGCACAGCCCAAGTGCATTCACATGCAGGGATCCAGATCGAAGGCCGGACGCGAGTGAGAAGGATGTTGCTGCAATCGGATGTCAGCATGGCTGTCTTGCTAGCTTACCGAGAGAACGAACTCACCTCGGAATCTCTCCAAGGACGTATCCGACTGTCCAACAGGTTTGCATGTAGTTCAGTTCGTTGCCGAAGAGCTGCATGTCCTCTTTCATGCCTGATACGAAGGCATTGTTGATGTTGATTTGGTCAAGATTCCTTACTGATTCGTCAGCGTGCAGCTCGCCAGGGTTTTGGATGCTAACCTACTTGATGAAGTAACCCAAACTCGCAAAAGTCAGGATGACGGCATCTAACTTGAACATGAACTTGCGTTCTTCCGGGGACTTATCCAACGTGTCCCAGATATATGACCTCCATGTAAGCTTTGGTTGCTCTTGGACAAGCTCGGCCACGGCTGGTTGCGTTTCTATCTTGTCGACAGAAGTCGGCGACTTGCTCCGAACGGAGTCGCCAGGCACGACCTTTTCGATCTCGGGGGCTCCCATTGCGAACGACCAAGTTGATGTGGAGCCTCAAAGTTCTCTGAAAACGAAAGAGCAAAGGGACAAGTGCGTTCCGAGCTGCCATGAGAGAAATCCGGAAATCCACAACAGTGTTCACGAAGCTTTATACAACCAGCTGCAAAATTTCCCCTTGTTCATGTCCAGGGTCCATCGGCGAATCTCGGACTTTTAGCAGAGATAGCAGGGTAAAAGTCTAGCCATATCGCTGACGATGTTTCTGGACATAATTGCGTGCTGGGGATATATGCGCGTCTCTGTTGCCGTGCAGTGGGTATTAACACCGGACATGTCAACAGAGTAGTAGTTCGTCCCAAAAGATACAATATAATGTTGTGCGGCTCTACATCCCGATTCGAAGCCAACCGGTAATTCACGTCAAGGAGTCTGGGCATGAGCTTGTGTCAATAAGTTTGATTAAAGCACCAACACATTGGCCAAACAAGCACTTTGCTCCGGACCTGGGCAGATCTCGATAGCTTGGTGATCTACGACAGCCGAGGGAGCAATTTCTTCCAGGCAATATAACAATGTAACACCACGTAACATATATGGGTATCTGAAGAGGGGAAGACGAGGCTACAACGTCTGCAGGCTCCCGTTCCCCCCATAAACGGCTTTTCCGGCACTGCTGCAGCCTCCAATATACTTGAGTGCGGCGTTGATACCTCAAGGGGATTGGGCTGCGAATTGGTTGTCGAGCACACAATCGGGACCTTGTATCGCGCAACCCCCACTTGGATGTCGTGATGGCTGATGACCCCAGATCCGCGCCCGCGGAGGGGAGGCAGCGGGCGAAAATCAGCGATGGACCAACGGCTGGCTGAGTAAACCCTCCATCATCTTTGGCTAGAGACCAATTGAAAGTGAATGGTGTTTGAGGTCAATCGCGTGCTTCTTGGGAGGCTTGGTGGGCGATTTCAGACCTAGCATCTGCAACCAGATGGTCCGATGTTGCGCTTTTGTTCCCAAATTCGTCAGCTTGAATGCATATGAAGCCATGACAGTCGCTTGTAAGTGCCTTTAAGGGTATTTTGACCCCGCGATTATTGGTAATCATCGTGTTTCTGATCAACGCGATCGGATTGACGAGACTTCCTTGATTGGATGACGACAACCCGCTTGAATTAGAAGAAAAGTATATTAAGACGGAGTCGAAGCTGCATGTGAGCAGTTCGGGGGCAAGTTTCAAAGTTCAATATAAGTGATAAACTTGGTCTCGACTATCAAGTCTCGTTTTACCCATCTTAGCAACTGCCAACAGCGTGTCTCGTTTGGACTGATATTAACCATGGTTCCCGCCCCTATTGATCCATCTATTACGGACGTGGCGGAGCCGCGAAAGGACTCTCTCCGACTTCCTGAGAGCACGAAGACGAGACTTGAAAAGGCGGGTGTTGATTTATCCAACGGATACCCCTACCGTCCCTCGCGGCCACTGTTTCTGGACGATGCGTACAACATCCGCAACAAGGAGCGGGAGTACATCGATGCCGGCTCAAGGGCAGACAAGTCCAAGAAGAACCTGCTAGGTGCAGCGACAAAGGTCACCGACTTGACGGCCCACATTGGCACGGAGATCGAGGGTCTGCAACTGAAAGACCTCACCACGGAGCAGAAGGACGAGCTTGCACTTTTGATCGCCGAGCGCAGCGTCGTTTTCTTCAGGGACCAAGACCTTTCCCCCCAGCAGCAGAAAGAGTTGGGCGCCTACTTTGGAGAAGTCGAGGTTCATGTGGGTCGTAATCTTCAAGTCTCCTTCTCAACGGGTGCGCTGGGTATCTGATGTATGAATTAGCCCCAAGTCCCTCAAGTCCCCGGTGTGCTCGGCGTCTCGGTCATCTGGCCTGACTTGATGGCCACCGAGAGGAAACCCAACTTCCGCAACCCGGGCGGTGCGTCGAGATGGCACACCGATCTGGTTCACGAGAGACAGCCCGCTGGCATCACCCACTTGCACAACGACACCGTCCCGCCCGTCGGAGGTGACACCCTGTGGGCTAGCGGCTACTCAGCTTATGAAAAGCTTTCCCCCGACTTTCGCAAAATCATTGACGGCAAGTACGCCATCTATAAGTCTGCCCACACTTACCTCGAACGCAACGCCCCCGAGGACGGTCCCAAACATATTGAGCGAGCTCACCCTCTTGTCCGCGTGCACCCTGCCACTAAATGGAAGTCACTGTATGTGAATCGTTCGTATACCACACAAATTATCGGCCTCGACAAGGCGGAGAGTGACGTAATTCTCAACTACCTGTTTGACGTCTACGAGAGGAGTGTTGATATCCAGGTCCGGTTCAAGTGGACCCCCAACACCAGCGCCCTATGGGACAATAGGTGGGTGATAGTCCACGGCAAAGCCTCTGATAAATCTGACGTAGTATAGAATCACGATCCATAACGCGAGCTGGGACTATGAAGGGAACCACCCCCGCCACGGAACGCGTGTGACGTCCTTGGCGGAGAAGCCATACTTTGAACCCGATGCGCCCACACGCCGTGAGGCTTTGGGCTTGCTGAGCGCCGATGAGAAGGAGGAGCTTGGCATTGATGGTACCACGCGGGGGCTCAGGGATTTCTCTCTGTAGACAAGGGTAATCACCTCTTGTAGTGAGATTAGCTATTCCATAAATGCTATTCGGTATTGATATGTGTTGTAATAGTGAATCTCCGGTCTGAAAGAGAAGGAATCCTTAGTGGCAGTGACACAAATTGACCGAAAGCATCACATTTCGGTCGCCGATGTTCATTGCTCTGGCAGCAAGATGGACACAATGGCTTGGGTGCAGGTCGTAAAACATCAAGTTTTATTGCTTGCGTTCATTTGCCGGAGTTTTGAATGCGATTGTACGGGACGAAGATCGGATACCGCCGTCATAATAATCTTCCCCGCCCGGGTCGATGTATATCCCAACCCGTAGGTGCAAACACATTGCAACGTTTCAGTCGACTGTTGTAGGTAGATCGATTCTCGACCGTTTGCTGTGGCTTGAAACGCTGACCTAGAACAACTGCCAATCATTTGGCCCGACAGCATGACTCGCTTCCTATTTCGGATATTTACAAGGCATAAAAATAGACTCCAGCGAGCCAGCGAACTGCTTGCCGTCCGTACAGCAACTATCTGTGAGTGATCACAGCAGTGGCGCCATTTTTCAAGGCCACTTCATCCACGGCAATGCAATGAATTTGCTCACTTGGCCAGATATAATGACACAGCCTAATTTGAATCGACAGCTTAGACATTCATCATGACAACCATCACTTACACCTCGGCCACAGCACAGCTTGCAAGGCATCGGCCCATAGGGCGCGTTACTACTCAGCTCACCGTCTTCAGGAATAAGAGTTTTCGCCAACGGAGATTGTGTCTATATGACCGGGTCTTATCACTCTGCTAGCGATGCCATCGGCATAGTGGCAATAATGCGAGCCCGGCCGGAGCATTGCAGAAACCTGGACGGATGGAACCCCGGCATTTGCAGCTGGATGGCTCCAATAATATACTACAGGGCTGTGTCGAAATGTATTTGGGGTAAAATTTCAGCTGAGACTATTTCTAGAATCTCGCGTGATGCGCGGGGTTTTCTCGACTTCCCCATGCGGGATTTGATATACGACTCAGCGGAGCATGCGGCCTCACCCCTGAAAGCGTCTAGGACCATGGATTCAATCATTCTCTACGTGCCTCCCCAGCAATCCGCCTGATAAAACCTGTTATTCGAAGTCACTGGTAAACAGTCGTTCGGATTTTGTACCGGTGCTCCCCCAGCATATGTTGGCAGCCTCGCCACCATCAAAAGGACCCCAAAGCATGTTGCCCAGCTTGCTTCGCCACACACAAGCTTCTCGCGGCGTCGCAGAAGACATCCGAGCACACACAGTCAAGGGAACCCCGAACCTTGGTCAAAGACGCGTCCACTCTGATGGTGGAGGTGTATGATTATGCAAAGCTCCAAATAGCTTTCGCTGGATTTTAATGTCATGATATTGCTTCTGCCACTGGATAAGGAGCTTGCCGAACATGGTTTGTTCTGCCGTCATGGAAAAAGAAAAAAACAAAAAAACAGCCGTGACGGCATATTCGGGAATCATCTCAATGACCAGCAGAAAGCCCAATCTTCACAGTTCTAGTGGTCTCGTGCGTTTATTCGTTTAATCGCCTTCCTTCAGGCCTGTGTCTATAACCATGTGGCGTTCGACGCGCGTGGCATCCAGATGAATTGAAGAGAAGTAGCCGCCACCATCCCGTGTTCTTCAATGAAGAGCCTCGGCCAGCAAGCTCAAGCGTCGAAGCCAATCGAATGGTGTTACCGGGGCAGTGGTGAGCCGGGTGGTGTACTAAACACAATCGTCCTCTTACTTGCAGGATCGGCCGGGTTGTCGGCACCCTCTTTTGATGATGAACAATAGAGTCTAGCACTTAGCTCCATGACCACTACGACCGCTACTGACCGCTTGTTGTTGTGTCAGGTTCAGGTGCCAGCTGATGCACACGCGTCCAAAGTCATCATGGGGTGTTCCTCTTTCAAATCTTGATCGGTGACCAATCCGACTCTTTCCACGATAGATAAGGTTGCTTTTGCCAGCCTGGGTGCTCCCTCTACTGAATCTACGCAGTATGAGGCATTTGATGGCTGCTTCTGGTTGGGCCGACAACAGTGGTAGCTGTCGTGGAGTGACCCTAGTCATGAGATGGGATGAGCTTCATGTTGCATTGACGCTTAAAGTTTTCAAGCCGTCTTTTGTACGGACATGGAATTCCAACCGGTTTGTCACCCCGAGATATGTGTCTTATTCGCCGAGATTGGCGAGACTTGTGTGGTGACGAGCCGCGCTAGATGGCTACGGAATCGAGCTAGCTCTAACAAGACTTACACCGCAATAAGGATGGTGGGCATTGGGCAGACACGCACGCACAGAAAGTTGCATCAGACTCAGTCCCTCCCGGGGCTGTGTGAACGACGTCGCGGAGGTATACGGTAACTTTGTAGTTTCAGGACGCCCGACCTCTCCGTTAGCCTATTTTGTTGCCCTTGCACTCACAAAAGCTTGATGTGCCCCCCGAATTTGCGGCATATCATCTCCGACTCGATCTTACTTACTACCTATTGTCAACCTGCCATTGCAGCTCGTTTGGTTGCCGGTACCCGAGCCTCGAAACGTCAGTAGAATCATCGCCGAATCTCATCGCGAGTTTCGTCTTCAACAATTGGAATGGTAGCGGTTTGCGCACCGGAGAGTCTTGAGAAGGGTTTAACAGGCTATGGCACGCGTACAAAAGACCAGCATCCACGAGCACATCACCTGCGAGACCCTTAAACGGTGAACACACCCATACGAGCTTTTCCCGCGGGTCCCCCACGATTTGTCCCCGCGGGGCACTACCCGCTTTTCCCACGGTCACTACAATGAACACGCCCTACCGTATAGACTATAGATAAACGTACTGCGACCGACGTCTCGATTATTATAATGGCGCGACAGACAGATGGGCAACACTTCCAGGGGCCAAACAATCCTTTGCGATTGTCCCCCAACACGTCCACCACAGTCATGGAATCCGCCACCGTTCGTGGAAGAGATACCGAACGAGGTCTTGTCTGCGATTTTGCCAATGTGATCAGCTTCGAATCGCCTACGGTGCCACCACTGAGCCGACGTCCTACAATTGGATCCTCCCGTCGGACCGTGTCTCCTCCAACCTCGGTGAAGGCGTTTGCCAATGCAAGGCGACGCGGGCAAGATGCCGATACATACGATTCAAAAGCGAGTCGCAGACAGGCGGGCGACCTGAGCGGCGAGGCGGAAGGGGTCGATTACTCGAAAAGGACTGCGAATGGCTTGCAGAGCGGCTATGGGAAATCGTACCGTCGGGATGCCGATAGTCCCCTGGAGGGGTTTCCTGCGACCGCCGGTGTGGCGGATAGAAACAAGCGCGAAAACTCGAAGGATGGCCTCGTTATCGATTTCGAGTGCTTGGAAACCTTGATCAACGTCGACGACTGTGGCAGCTTTAGCAACGATGACTTCAATAACCTTCCTGACAGCTCCATCCCAGCGGGCGCCACCATGTTCACGTCCGACGGGGACTACATCAACATTGCGTCTCGGCTAGCCTCAGTCTCGAACGAGAAAGATACAATGACCCATGGTCAACCCAGGACTGTGAATCAGGGTGAGCAGAGTCGTTTCAACTTCTTTTCCTCTGCGCTGGAGTCGACCATTCATGCTGCAGAATTTCGGGACCTTATCCTCCCGGGAGAGAACATCAGGTCTCTATTCGAATCCGAAGGGGAATCTGACGGCGTCTGGTGGCTCAACATGAACAACCCGACCGGCATCGAAGTTTGGACAATCTGCAAGGCATTCGGCATCCACCCTCTCACCACCGAGGATATCATACACAAGGAAACTCGCGAAAAGATTGAGCTATTTCCGACATACTATTTTGCTTGCTTCCGGTCCTTCATTGTCGTCGAGGAAGATGGCGAAACTTCTTACCATCCTTTCAACGTGTACGCTATTGTCTTCAGAGAGGGGATTATCAGCTTCAGTTTCACCCCGAATTTGCATTCGTCAAAAGTGCGGTTCCGAATCTCCCAACTGAAGGAGCATGTGTCCCTGAGTAGCGATTGGATCTGCTACGCTCTGATGTAAGTTGAAACCGACTCCAAGGGATGGCACATTGGTACCCAACAACACAACACGATGGGCGCTGATGGTACTGGACTAACTGGGATGAAGTGACGATATTGTGGATTCGTTCGGCCCTGCGATCAACCAGATTGAATGTGAGGCAGACGCCATTGAGGACCAGGTCTTCATCACGCGCGTCGAGGACAATCAAGCCTTTCTCCGCAAGATTGGCTACACTCGAAAGAACGTCATGAGTCTCATGCGCCTGCTCGGCGGCAAGACTGATGTCCTCCGTGCTTTCACCAAGAGGTGCACTGAAGACTATGAAGTCACGCCACACATGGATATCGCCCTGTATCTTGGCGACATCCAAGACCACACCGTTACGATGATGAATAGCCTCGTGCAATTCGACACCATTCTCTCGCGGTCACACAGCAACTACCTGGCGCAACTCTCGATTGACAGCATTAGCATGGGCAACCAGACCAACGAGTCCTTAAGTAGGGAAGAAGCAATTAATTACCCCGTGGTGCCCCTGAACGTTATTTGCGGACTCTTCGGGATGAACGTCGAGGTGCCTTGGAAAGATGTTAATAACCTAATTCCCTTTTTTGGGATCCTAGCCTCTATTGTCGGCTTTGCCTTCTTCTTTTTGATTCTGGCTCGGCGACTCAGGTACTTGTGAGAAACATGTTGGTAAGATATCGAGACATATGTAGATAATATATGATATATGACTTATTAATCCGGCTCAATCATGCCCTGTAATCTCAACTGAGCATGTATTCAGTACACAGCAGGTCTCATCCTCATCGTTTAGTCCTGGGTGCATGTTGTGACAGGGTCACATGTGAATTATAAGAGGACAACGTTGCTATTGGACTGGGGAGATATGCACTCCTTGTCTTGCTTAGCAGGAGCAACCGCCTCGGACATCTGAAATGTCGACCTTTAAACTCGAGAAGAAGGAACACAACTGCAGTCACAAGAAAAGCAATAACAACCTCTCGCATGGCCATGGTGTGACTTTCCCTCCCATAATCGGTTCTTACTCGACGCCCACTTAAAGGACAGCCACAATGCGCACTCTCACCTACCTAATCCCCCGTCTGCTGCCAAGATATGAGCCTCTTGAACTTCCTGTTGTGGCAAGGCGCACCGCCAAGCAACGACATCATCCGCCTTGGCAGCACTTGATGTTACGCCGACTCTTTGTGTCCTTCCCAAGCGAGAATATCACCTACCCCTTTTTGCATATCGTTGCCGGGCTGCTACCGAGAATCGCGCTGTGGGCCCTTCGGCTCATAAGCGGGCAGTCTACATATTCCCCCTTTCCTTCCTCAAGTGCGTATAAAATGCATGTATCTCGGCTCTGTGTTCTTCTTTGAGCCTTCTCTGCTTTTAGAGACCTTAATTCTCGTCATCATCGCTCACGCCCCGGCTCGTCATGAGGGCTTCAATCGTCTCGGCTATCGCCCTTGTGCCTTTGGCGCTCGGTGCGACTGTTCCTAGATCGACCAAGGTTGACTACAATGGCTTCAAAGGTCTTCGCATCACTCTCCCCGAGGGCAATGCTGATGTTGCGGATAAGATCGACGAGCTGGCTGCAACCGTTTTGAACCCCGGTTCCAAGGACAAGCTCGACGTTGTCGTCTCTCCGGAGAACCTCGATGCCATCAGTCAACTTGCCAACACCACGATTCTCGTTGAGGACATCGGTGCTGCCTTCGCCGAGGAAGAGGTTTCGACTGTCTATGCTGGTAAGATTTCTTTGCCTCGTGAACTTCGAGTTCAACCTTAGCTTATGACGGAACCTAGTGCCAAGCGAATCATGGTTCACGGCCTACCACAGCTACGCCGACCACTTGGCCTTCCTCAAAGACCTTCAGAGCAGCTTTCCTGGCCAGTCTGAAATCTTCACCGCTGGATCTTCTTTCCAGGGACGCGCATTGACCGGTATTCACATCTGGGGCAGCGGAGGCAAGGGTTCGAAGCCAGCTGTTGTTCTTCATGGTACTATTCACGCTCGCGAGTGGATCAGCACGATGGTAAGGACAAACCCAAAGCCCATTCCTGTCTTTAGAGGGCTAGATAACCAATGTTCCGAACAGACAACCGAGTACTTGGCCTACCAGCTCCTGGCGAAGTACTCGTCCGATTCTGCCATCAAGTCCGTTGTAGACAAGTACGACTTCTACATCACCCCGGTCGCTAACCCTGACGGTATGTGTTCATAGTGCGAAAATTGAATCATTGAGATCGTGGCTGATCCCTGTTGAAGGTTTTGTCTATACCCAGACCACCAATCGCCTGTGGCGGAAGAACCGTCAGACCAACACTGGCAGCTCTTGCATTGGTCGTGACCCCAACCGCAACTGGCCGTACAAGTGGGAGCTTACAGGAGGCGCTTCAACCAGCCCTTGCTCTGAGACCTACAAGGGCGCCTCCGCGGGTGACGCGCCGGAGATTAAGGGTCTGAAAGCCCAGATTGACTCGCTATCTGCGTCCCAGGGGGGCATAACGCTTTATCTGGACATTCACTCGTACGGCCAATACATCTTGTGGCGTAAGTAAATATCTTCAATGGCTCTTTTCTTCACACCCCTATGCATGCCAGGAGTCTTGTTGAGTGACTCTTGCGCTGACACCCATGTCACCAGCATTCGGGTACGACTGCAACTATGTCGCTCCTGATGATGCTGCTCTCAGAGCCCTGGCTCAACGCGGTGCCACCGGCATCCGCGGTGTTTCGGGAACCAGCTACACGATTGGGAATGCCTGTCGTGCCTTATATGCCACGACTGGCGATAGCACCGACTACATCCACGGCGTTGCGAAGTCCAAGTACACCTACACCCTTGAACTGAGAGACAGGGGTACCTATGGCTTCTCTCTACCTGCCAGTCAGATCCAGCCCACTGTTCGTGAGACTTGGGCAGGTGTCCTTGCCATGCTTCAGGCTGCCTAAGCTTGCAAATACTTTCAGGCTGTAATACAGTTTTACTCGCAATTGTATGTGTTGAGGTATTGTTTCTTTTGAGCAGGCCTAAAAAGCGACTTACAACGATCCGTGAAGTCTAGAAGAAGTGTACAGTCTATTAATACCGTTGTGGCAGGGGTCCGTCGTGTCATGCAACTGAGTCTGCGGCCTCTAATATTCAGAGGCATCACTTCATTTCGGATTGAGCATAGCCTATCAGTGAAACCAAAGTTTCACTACTGTCCCGTCGCAACATTTCGCAAGGCCTTCCAGCCATCAGCGACCATTTCTTTCATTTTCCAATCAGACATTGAGCTCCGTCGTGGCTGACTTCTCGAAGATAGCCCTGTATGGCTGGATCTTTTTCTCTGCCACGCCTTCCAGACCACAGTACCGTTCAACGATGTCAACGCTACGGCCAATGTAAAGCTCAGGTCTCAGCATGTCGTCAAGATCAGCCCAGATCGGTTGGAAGAACTCCGAAGCCTTGATCCTGTCAATAAGATCGTTCGATTTACCCTCCAGCTTCACGACACGGGCAGCTTGGTGCGATAAGACGCGGATCTGCTCATGGGCTTCCTGTCTGGATATGCCCTTGGCACAGAGCTTCATGATGATATTCTCTGCGCACATAAATGGCAACTGTTGTTGAACACGCGAGGCAATCACCTGAGGGTAAATGACCATGCCGTCGGTGACATTGTCCAGGCTGCCAATGATAGCATCGGCCAAGAGGAACATCTCGGGCAAGTCCATTCTGCGGACGGCGCTGTCGTCCAGTGACCGCTCCATCCATTGCGCAGCGAGGGTGTTTGCAGTGGTTGCCTGCTTGGACAGAAGCTCCCGGGCGAGACTGGAGATTCTCTCTGAACGCATCGGGTTTCTTTTGAAGGGCATAGCACTTGACCCCACCTGTTTATCCTCGAAAGGCTCCTCCGCCTCCTGCCACGAGGCGAGATGGCGGATATCTCCGGCAATCTTTTGTGCCGTAGCGCCAAGGCCGCAGATGGCGTTGGCTACAATCAGGTCAACCTTGCGGGTATACGTTTGCGTCGATACATCGTAACACGCGGGAAAGCCGATCTTCTTGCACAAGAGTTCGTTCAGCTGGTCGCACTTGGAGCCGTCGCCGCCGAAAATCTCGAGGAACGACGCTTGAGTTCCCGTGGTTCCTTGGGCACCTGCCATGACATGTTATTCGGTCTCTCGCTGTCTGATGCGTGTACTTCGGCTCACCTCGAAGCAGCAACCCATTGCGAACGTGTTCGATACTCTCGAGGTCGAAAACGAGATCCTGAGCCCATTGAGCTGCACGCTTGCCAACTAGACGCAAATCAGAATTTTGTCGAGGGTCCAAAGAGGGGCACTGTTTTTGGTATACCTGTAATCAGCTGGGCTAGTAGGCGAATAGTCAGCGGAATTGCTATCAATTTGGTGTTGGCAACGAAAAATACCTGGCTGTAAATGCGTGTATGCAAGAGCGGGAGTTGCCTTCCATTCCCTAGCAAGCTTGCACAGGTTTGAGATAACCTTTGCAAGTCTTGGAAGGAGAAGATCCATGGCATCGCGCATGAGGATAAGTTCCGCGTTGTCGGTTACGAAGCAGCTCGTCGCCTTGTTTTTAATCCATCAGACTCGGTGGAGACGACAGAGAACTGCGACTTTTGACTTACACCGTAGTGGATAATACCAGCCGCCGCAGGCGCGACGGCTCCGAAGGCGTGTACATGAGCCATGACGTCGTGGCGGCGGATCTTCTCCTCAACCCTGGCGACCTCAAAGTCCTGATCGGTTACTTCGAGATGCTGCTTCATCTGCTCGAGCGCTTCCGGCGTGATGGTGTCGATACCAAGCTCTTTCTCGGACTCTGCGAGCAACAACCACAGCCTGCGCCATTGCGAGTGGCGAGAGCGCTGGCCAAAGAGTCGTGACATCTCTGGGCTGCAGTATCTCGCCGTCAACGACGTCTGATACGTATCGTAGGGCGACGGCCCAGCATTCTTTACTTGAGTTGCCATTTTGAGGCTCGTTTGGAGATTTGTCGATGCGGGGTTGAATGAAAATGGAGGGGGAAAAAAATCAGCCGCCGATCAATTGATAGCAAGACCTGAACCATGGGAAGACCCCGCCGGAATAATAACATCCCGTGAAGCGAATGTGGGCCCCCGTACCAACGTTATGGTATGTACGTATTTTTGTCCCTGTGGACTTATACTTTTTCGTCCCTCAGTAACAATCTAAGGACAGCTCTGTCAGTAGGTATACCGTACGATATCAACTCATCTAGTGGCACATGGTCTTTTATAAGCCAGAAAAAAAAAGGAAGAAAAAAAGGCAAGGGAATTGCGGCGCGTGGCGACGTTGCATACCGTGTTTATACGACAACAGGTACAGATTCGCAGACTAGACTGCCCGCCCCCGGCTCTCGCTATCAGTGCCCAGTTGAGTTGCTACAAGTTTTGGTTGCAGCCTCAAGTTCGACAGGAAAACCGAGTTATTCAAATGTGGGCACTTGAACTTCATTACGGGAAAATGCAATATATGTTGCATAACAGGCTGCAATAATCATTGCCAGTTGTTATGACGAGCTTGACACAATTCGCAGGTGTCACTTGTATAACTCGATCAGTCAGTTCGCCATAGCATTTTTCTCTTCACCTCGAGCAAACTGAAAGTGGGCATTTGACGGACAGTCTAACAAACAGTGTTTAATACTTTGATACTAATAGCACAAAGTTTGCTTTATGCTAGAAGAGATCAACATTCAACTTCTCAGACACCATCTGTATGCCACTCACCGTTGACAAACCCACGCAACATAAACACTGTTAGTTCCAGGCAAGCGTAGATCCAGTATTATGCGACTCTCTGGCCAACTCAATAATCCTAATCGCATCGCGAGATTGAGTCGCCTTCACCTCCAACACAGCTTTACCCTTAATAGCGTCGGCCAAGTTCTCATAGAGACCTAGCCAGCGACCAACAATCGACGGATACTTGCCGACATACTTGTTTGTTGCTTCATCAAAACGCTGTATCTTGCCATCGAACTCTTTAATAGTAGTCAGAGTTCCGTACAACTCGGCCGGCTCTTCGCCGAACCCTAGTTCCAGCGGCTTGCGGCCCTCGGATATCTGCTCCTCCTGGGGACAAGTGCTTCTTAGTTGGAACTGCCCACAAGGTCAGTAAAGTCCGGTTTGTTGACTCGAAGAAGCAAGAGTCACCTTCAACCATGACCCCTTTGTTCCCCTGACGAGGTGCTTCAACTGCTGTGCCATGGGTGTGGTAACCGAGGTTTTGACAGTGACGAGGAGCTCCTTTTGTGGGCCGTCGTACTGCAACACAATTGTGAAGGAATCCTCGACTTCACTTTCAATACCTCGTTGTGAGCGAAAGAAACCAGTCACGGACTTCGGACGGCCAAAGAGAACGACAGCTTGGTCGATGCTGTGGGTACCTGTGCCAGGCGATGGTTAGCTACCGTCTTGGTCCACCGAGAGATTTCCGCTTACCTAGACCGAAAGCCATGCCATCACCGGGGGTGTACTCCTTTTTGGTCATACCAGCTAGCCAGGGAGGCGACTCGAAGTCGTAGTGAATCTCGGCCTCTCTGATGTCACCCAGCGCGTCCTCACTGATGAGCTTTCGCAGCGTTTGAAAATCGCCATCCTAGTAGGCTCGTCAGTTTTCGGGCAGACTACGACCTAAAGTTTGTTGACTTTGGTACCCATCTGCGATTCTGGAAGCACGTCAGGATTAGACCCTTGCTGTTTGCAAGCTCGATGACCCGGTCTGCCTCCTCAGATGATCTCGCAAAAGGCTTGTCGACAATGGCTATTGTTTCGTCAGCCCCTGTCTTACCAGTTGAGGCTAGACAGCTCTTGAGGGATACTGAGATGTTCATACCGTGCTTTCCTGCTTTCAGGGCTTGCTCGGCATAAAACGCATGCGTATCGGTGTGGGTAGCTACGACGACGAGCTGGATGTCCGGGTCGGCGAAGAAATCCTCTCCATTGCGGTAATGTCTAATGTTGGGGAAGTCGACTTTGCAATGGGAACCAGCTGGGACTGAAGGCGGGTCTGTCGGTGCCTCCGCTCTTTGCAGGATGGCAATGACCTCGTAATCGCTGTTTGCTACGATAAAAGGAATATGAAAGTTCTTGGCAGCAAAGCCATAACCCACGACCCCGACTTTAATAACAGACATTTTTGGCTGCAAGAGACCGATTGCTCTGACTTGACCTTGAAAGTCGGGAATGGTTTCAGAGTATTCTTGAGGGCTAATCATGGTTCTTTTATTCCCAAATCCAGGATGCGGGGGATTCTCGCAAATGTGTCTCATCGACGCGGGATGGTGGCACAAAGGAGGGGTGTGGCGGCTCGGTACCGATACTCTCCGAAGGATATGTACCCAGAAGTTTGTTTGTTAAAATTTCGAGCCAGCCCAACTTCAGGAACCCATCAAGTGACCAAGCCCTGATATAATGAAGTCGTGAGGATTGTACGCATACGAAATAATCTGTGCCCCTTTTGACAGACCTTTACATGGTGATAAGCAGCGTTGCGGTTAATTGGAAGTACGAAACCAATACAAAGTACCTTACGCAGCTAATGGTAATAGAAAGCAGCAGCCAATCTGCGGACATCGCTGGGTTAGATGAACCGGCTAATGTGACTGACTGAAATGACAACAACTAGAAGTGGCTAAATTGACAAGCACGAGTGCATAACGTCATTACACGTAAGAGATAGTGAGTCCCAATAGTTAGCAACCAAGAGAAGAGTAGGAGATCACCTGTATTTGTTACAACCTAACAAGTTACAGGCCATGTTGCCCCACCTGACAGGCAGACAATAGGTAACAGCAGTATTTGTATAGACAAGAGAAAACTAGAACAGATAGATAACTCCTTAGAATAAAAGAACTATCCCTTTAATTGCCAGGTGACTCCATTTCTGCCAAGGGCAGGGTAGAGCCAATACATTTACAGCATTAAGTCTAACAAGCCAATAGTTTTAAGGTACTTCTATCTATAAAGCGTTTTGCCTATACTAAAGGTACTAGTAATCTCTGCCTTTACAAAGAAGTATATTATAATCTAAGTAGCTATACTAGAGGATTATTAGGCTGAACTATTACGTTATTATACTCCTCTAGGTAATAGTAAGGTCCTCTAGTAAGAGCTTTATATAAATATTAGTATAAATAGAGGTATTTAGATATTATAACTAGTTTCTAGACAGGAGGGTTTCTACTAATAGTAAGTAGAGGTTAGTAGTTAGTTAATAGTATTTATTATTCTTATTATCTATTAACTACCTAGTAATTAGGCATAAGGCTAAGGTTATAAAGAAGCTTATATAGCTTCTTATTAATTAAATTACTAAGGTTAGATACTAAAGAATATTTAGAGAATATATTATAAGTTAATTACTAAAGAGCTATAGGAGTCTATCCTTAAGTATATCTAAGTCTATTTTATATATAAGTCCTAGCTGTTTTCTAGATAGTTTCTTTAACTAATAGTTATAAGGTAAAATAAGTACTTACTTAGGTATTTACTAAGTGCTTATCTTACTTATAAATAAGTACTTACTTTTTATTTTATTTTATACTTATAGTTATATAACTTATATTATAGTTCTTTTATTTTAAGAAGTTATTTACCTACTTTTTTATTTTCTATTTATATAAATACTACTATTACTTACTATTTATTTATTAAGTAAAGTAATATAGTGTTATAGCTAGTTTCTAAATAGTAAGGTTTTTACTAATAGTAAGAAGAGTTTAGTACTTATTTAATAGTATTTATTATTCTTATTATCTTATTAATTACCTAGTAATTAAATATAGTTAAGGTTATAAGGTAGCTTATATAGCTTCTTATTAATTAAATTACTAAAGTTAAATACTAAAAGTGTTATAAGATAAGGTAGTAAGTGCCTATAGTTAGGAGACAGATAGATAGTAAGGACAAGATGCCTAATATATATATAATATATTATATATACCCTAGGTATATATCCCTTTAGTAAGTAACCTTTTATAAAGGAGGGATTAACTATAAATATACCTCTTATTTATTACCTATCTTATTTTATATTATTTATTTAGCTTCTTATTATTATTTATTTTACCTTACTACTTTACTATTATGCTTTACTTTTATACTATATTACTTTATATTACTACTATAGCCTAGCTTTATCTTATTAGGACTATAATAGCTATTAAAAAGGCTATATTAAGTAGTAGTATAACTATCTTAATTTATACTATTTTATTATTCTTATTATTTTTATTATTTTATTAAATTCTTTTTTTATTACTATATAGTAAAGAAATATATATACCTTGATAAAAGTATTAGGCTTAAAATATAGTATACTAAAGACACTTTAACCTAAATAAATCTCTAAGCTAAAGTAATTCTATATATAGCTTTAGGAAAATTTAACTTATAAGGTTACTTAATAGCTACCTTAAAGCCTTTATAATAATATATAATCCTTTATAACTATAGAATTTAATAGAGATATACTATACTACTTTAGTAATAACTAGTAATAAGGCTTTTAGTTAGACGTTAGCTAGGCTAATATCTTTTTTTAAATTAAAAGTATATTTTATATAGTAAAAAGGATTATTAAAGATATAAAAATTAACTTACTACTTTTATTAAGACTATATAATAAGGTAAAGGATATTTAACTATCTTATAGTAACTTATAAAGCCTTTAGTTATTTAAAAACCTAGTTATACTAAGAAAAAACCTAACTAAGTAAATACTAGTTACCTCTTAAAAAAAGCCTTTTTAATAACTACTTTTAAGTAAAGATATTATAATAAGTAGTATACTTAAATAAAAAAAAGTATTTTTTTAGACTTATAATTTTAAAAATAAGTAAAGGTTACTATAATAATATAGTTTAAGTTAAAATATAAAAAATAAGAAATTATAAGCTTACTAGGCTATAATACTATTTTACTAATAAGCTTATTTAGACTATAGTTTTTTACTATACTAAGCTAATTCTTAAATAGTATAAATTACTATACTTAAGGCTAATAAAAGTAAGATATATACTTACCTTTAGAGTAAATATAATATTTACTACCTCTAGCCTAAAGTTAAGTAAGAAATATAATTTCTTTAAGTTAGTACCTTAATAAGGAGGCTAGTACTATAACTATAGCTACTTAATTAGTAAAATAAAGGTTAATAATAAAATAGTTATAAAAACACTAAGACCTAATAAATATAGCTTAGTAATAAAATAACTCTAGCTAGTAAAAGTAGTAAAGAAGCCTATAGTTAACTATAGCTATACTAATTTTACTAATATTAAATATAAAAAAGCTTATAGTAGCCTTTTTTTATACTATAACTACTTAAATATAAGTAGTAGTAGTACTAAAAATAACTATAGCTACTTTAAGTTATCTTTTAGCCTAACTATAAATACTATTTACTATAGAAATCTTTTAGCCTAATACTAATACTAAGAGGTACTTACTAGACCTTATTTTTTATAACTACTTTATAATATATTACTATAATATAAAGCTCTAGATCTAAGTAGTTAAGGTAACTTATAAAGATTATTTATTTTAATAGTAATTTTATTAAATAATTAACTAGTACTTTTATAACTAAGTATAGAACTAGTAAAAATTTTAACTTACTAATATAAAGTAAAATATCTTTAAGTAAGAAGGTTAGCTAGTAATCTTAATGTAATTTAAGTACTATTTTAAACTAACCCTTATTAAAGTAAAAAAGTAGTTTTATAAAAACTACTTTACTACTAATAAGATTAATAAGTAGTATAATATTTATACTTTTACTTAATCTTACTTTAAGTATACTAAGGTATAAAGTAACTAAACTTAATACTAATAGCTAATAAGGTTTTATAATAACCTTATACTATAGCTATAGTAATTTCTTTATAAGCCTAAGGACTATAACTTCTTAAATAAGTATATTACTTTTATAAAAAAGACACTAAGCCCTTTAAGATACTACCTTACTATTATAAAGTACCTTTATATATACTAATAGTATAAGTACTTAAAGTAGTATAAATAATAATATAGTGCTATAAAGAAGTATATTAGAACTACTAAGGAAGTATAGCCTTTAAAATAAGGACCCCTTAAAGACTAATAAAGAAGATATAGCTTTGTAAGGATTTAATAATAATAATAACTAGTAGTAATAAAATAACTACTAGTATAAAGAAAACTCTTATAAAAACTATAAAAAATACTAACCTTATAGTAACTAATAGTAAGAGTATTACTAGGCTAACTTTAAGCGTAAGGTATAAGACTAGTAACCTTAGTAAAGACCTTAATAAGGAAGTAAATAGTAGTAGTAAGCGTAATATATATAAAAAACTAAAAGTAAAAATAAAGTTTAATTTATTTAAAAGTATAATAAAAATATAAATATTAAAGTTAATAAGCTTATTAATAAAAAGTATATTTTTAAAACTACTAAGAGGTTCTTACTAGTAATAATAAATACTATAAACTTTATTATACTATTAATAGTAAAGATTACTATAACTTTAGTAGACTATAAGAAGATCTTTAAAACTCCTAAAGATATTACCTTATATTAAGATAAAATTAAGAAATACCTTATAGAGGTAGCTAAAAGTAATAATAGTATAAAGCTATTACTAAAACTAGGTAAAGCTATAACTCTTAAAGAGTTTTAAAAATATAATATAAATATAATATAATAT